TGGATTCTGCCCTGGCTTCAAACCACGATCCTCAGCTCAGCTTCCTGAGGAGTCCTCAGCCTCCACCAGGGGACATTTAGGCCCCTGGTTGGCTATTATTGCACCAGCCTGAGGGCCGGGCCTCCCCCCCCCCTCCCCCCCCCCGAACTTGATTTTTTTTTTTTTTCTTTTTGTCAGTCCTGGAGCTTGAACTCAGGGCCTGGTCACTGTCCTTGAGCGCTTTTGCTTAAGGCTAGTATGCCACTTCTGGTTTTCTAGTGGTTAATTGGAGATAAGAGTCTTATTTTCCTACCGGGGCTGGCTTTGAACCATGATCCTCAGACCTCAGCCTCCTGAGTAGCTAGGATTACAAGCGTGAGTCACCAGCACCTGGCTCCAAGTTGGATTCTTTAACCCCCTGCCGTGGGCTCCCTGCAGAGTATGTGAACGTGCAGGAACAGCCGATGGACATGCGGTCAGTGACTGACCAGGCAGCTCGCACCCTGCTGTGGACTGAACTCATCCGAGGTGAGACCGTGGGAGCAGGGTGGCAGGACGCTCCCCGGCAGGAGGCGTGCGCCGGGGCAACGCGCGCCCGTTCTCCTGACCATTGTCCTGCACTGCTCACAGGCCTGGGCATGACCCTGAGCTACTTGTTCCGCGAGCCAGCCACAATCAACTACCCATTTGAGAAGGGTCCGCTGAGCCCACGTTTCCGCGGGGAGCACGCACTGCGGCGGTACCCATCCGGGGAAGAGCGCTGCATCGCCTGCAAGCTCTGCGAGGCCATCTGCCCTGCCCAGGTGAGCCGGGCCCTGACCCCCACCCTGGCTCTCCCCCCCCCCCAGGAGATGGGGGGCACAGGAAAATCTGTCTCCTGCTTTGAACCTCCCTCCCCACTCTTGAGTGGAACTGAGAAGGCTGTGGTGGCCAGAGGCTGTGAGTCACCAAATCTGCGGGTGATGCTGCCTGGGGCACAGGACCTGCCCTAGCGATCACCCCAGCCTTGTGGGGTGACCCCACCTGTTCCTGGCTCCACCCCAAGAGGACACATAAGAAGCCCCCACTCCCTGGCCTGGCGGCTGCTCCTCAAAAACCTGGCTTTCAGTTGCACAGATGGCCTAGAGTCAGGGCTCGTGGCATAGAAATCGATGTCATGCTGGGTGCTGTGGCTCACACCTGTAATCCTAGCTGCACAGGAGGTTGAGATCTAAGGATCAAGGTTCAAAGCCAGGTCTGGGGAGGAAAGTCCGTGAGACTCATGTCCAATTAACCACCAGAACACTGGAAGTGGTGCTGTGGTTCAAATGGTAGAGCACTCGCCTTGAGCTGAAGAGCTGAGGGGCAGTGCCCAGGCCCAGAGTTCAAGCCCCATGACCAACCAAACAAAAAAAAAAAAATGAAAAGAAATGGATGTGGTTGTGGCTCAGGCCTGGCCTGTACCCAGCAGGAGTCTGGCCGGCCCAGGCCTTACCACCTGCTCATCTCCTCAGTGCTGGGGCTCATGGGGCTCCTGGCCGAACCTGGCTGCTTGTGGGTCTTCCAAGCTGAGGGCTGTGGTCTTGACGTTTCTTCTGTAACCACTGCCTGGGCACGTGGAGGGCCCGGCGGCGGCAGCGCTGGCTTCCAGGCTGTGAGTGCTGTGCCGCAGCCGGGCACTGTCCCAGCTCACGCCTCTTCTCACCTGTGTAGTCTTTGTATGTGTGCCGTTACTGAGGCTTGAACTCGGGGCCTGAGTGCTGTCCCTTAGCTTTTTCACTCCAGGCTGGCACTCTACTGCTTGAACCACAGCTCTACTTCTGGCTTATTGCTGGTTAATTGGAGGTAAGAATCTCATAGACTTTCCTTCCCTGGTGGACTTCACACCATGGTCTAGGATCTCAGCCTCCTGAGTAGCTAGGATGACAGGCGTGAGCCACTGACACCCAGTCCTGTCATTTTTACTCAACTCTTAACAGGTCGAGATTACTTCCTTGTTATAGACATAAAAAGATGGTGCGGCCCTCCGAGGGGTCCCCAGGAGTTCTGAGCAGCCACCCTTGGGGGAGTGTGAGGCCCAGGCATGGGCGGTCCTCCTGCTGTGGGGCCCCAGGCCTCCCTTTCCTCTGGCCGACACTAGGCTGCTGCCAGAAACTGCTAGTTAGGGATATGCCTTCGAGAATGGGCTCTGCCCCTCACTTGCTGTGTGACTTCAGGCGTTCATCAGCTTCTCTGAGCCTCAGTTTTCTCATTCATCAAGTGGGGATGAGTAGAACTAAGTGGATTTTGTTTTTTGTGTTTTGTTTCTGTCAGTCATGGGTCTGAACTCTGGGCCTGGGCGCTGTCCCTCAACTCCTCAGCTCAAGGCTAATGCTCTACCACTTGAGCCACAGTGCCACTTCCAGCTTTTTCTGCTTATGGGATGCTGAGGGATCGAACCCAGGGCCTCAGGCATGCAAGGCAAACACTCTACCACTGAGCCACCTTCCCAGCCCCAAGTCAGTGGTTTTTTAACCAGCCATTAGGCACTTCCCCCTTAAGGCATCAGGTCTGTGGAGAACAGAGCTGGACAACCTTCCCTTGTGGGAGCTGGGCTTGGGACAGGAGACGGAGCGTTAACAAAGGACAGGCACAGGTGGGGGGCAGACACAGGCTATGTTGGCTCTGGGAGGGTCCAGAGGTGGGGGGAACATTGGGTTGGCGCTGCGGGCCACCCAGGGCCAGGACGTGGCCAGCAGTGACTGCGGCCCCTCCCCAGGCCATCACCATTGAGGCGGAGCCGAGGGCGGACGGCAGCCGCCGGACCACCCGCTATGACATCGACATGACCAAGTGCATTTACTGCGGCTTCTGCCAGGAGGCCTGTCCCGTGGACGCCATCGTGGAGGTGAGTGGGCTCTGGGAAGGGGGAGACGCAGCTGGGGCAGCGGCTCCCCGGCGAAGCCCGATCCCACGCCACCTGCATTCTGCCCTGCAGGGCCCCAACTTTGAGTTCTCCACGGAGACGCACGAGGAGCTGCTGTACAACAAGGAGAAGCTGCTCAACAACGGGGACAAGTGGGAGGCTGAGATCGCCGCCAACATCCAGGCCGACTACCTGTACCGGTGATGCTCCTGCCACCCACCACGCCTCGGCTGCAGCCCTGCCGCCCAATAAAGAGCTCTGACCCCCCACTGTGCCTCCTGCCGTGCCTCCTGGGGTCCGGGGCCAGCCACGGCCTGCCTGTGCACACAGCTGCCCGTGTCTTCTCCAGTTTGGCAGTGCTGAAGGTCGCCTTACCCCCACCCTTTCCACCGCCCGGGTGTCTTGGGGGCGGTCTAGGTGCAGCCGCTGAGGGCTCCCTATGACTTAACACTCTTGGTACTCGGAGCCTCCCAAGGCCTTGGACTGAGGTACATCGAGGAACTCAGAAGGGCCAGGGTGTCCTTGAGGGTGTGGTCTGCTCTGGGGTGACAGTCACGAGGAGGTGACCCAGGCCCTGCTGCCTCTGAGCTGTCTTGGCCACATCCCCTTTTCTCTTCACAGTCCTGCACCAGGCAATTGCTTGGCTGCATGACTTCCTGCTTTGTTAGTCCTAGCAAAAGGGGTGTAGTTCCCCTGGGGCCACTTTGAGTAATAACCAGAAGCAGCCCTTGAGCGTGGTGCTGAGTCCTGTGGAAGGACTGTCCTTCCTTTGCAGGAAGAAGCAGGCCCAGGTGCAAGGCCTGCCTTGGGTCTCAAAAATCTATATGCAGGCCTGAGTCCCTCCTCCCACCATGTCCAAAACTGCCTTTCAGGAAATAGAAGTTTCCCAAGATGCATGTTGGTAAGGGAGGTGGTGCTCTGTGGGCCAGTGAGCATGGGGAATGCCCCTCGACAGTCACTCGAGACCTTCAAGACTCTGAGCCGGGCCTGTAACAGAACTGCAGCTCCTTCCCCAGGGTCCCCCTCAGATCCCCTGTTGACACTGGGGCTGACCTTTGTCACCTCGCAGTGCGGACGTGGCCCAGGCCCTACGCTGGCCTCAATGCTCAAGGATGGGGCTCCCGTGGCCATGAGCACAGGTGAGCTGGAACAGCCTGAACACGGAAGCTCAGCAGGGTGCTGCGTCCTGCCGCTGCTGAGACAGCGCCCCTTCCAAGAGTGCAGGCCAGGCCAGAGAAGCATGAGCACCCCTGTGTCTTTCCCGCCAGAACCCCCTTCACACGGGCACAGCACCCAGATACTGGAACATTTGTATTCATTGTGGGGCACTCAGGCACGAGTGTGTATCCTAACAAAGTTCAGTGGAGGAAGCCTGGCCGGCGGCCCCTCCTGCTCCCGCTGTGATACGTGAACGCTCGGCCCTCACCTTCCTGAGGACACCGTTTCCAGGCCTGGCTCTGCAGCTCCAGGCCCTCATCCCACCCCTTGGAGGCCTTTGCTTCCTCTGTGGGGTTGAGGTCTCACCAGAACTGAGTGCTGTGGCCCTCCTGTCCCCTGTTCACAGTGCAGGTTGTGGACGGCACTAGGGCCAGTTTCCAGGCACTGGTACAGGGACTGAGCCTCAGGGAGCCAGGTCACCACCGCAGGTGAGTGTCAGGCAGCCCAGGCTGCTAGGGACTGCCCTCCCTACCACCCGCGGACATGGAAGCAAGGTCCAGAGAGGGGCGTCTACTCCCATCCCCACCCCTGCTGTGTAGCCCCCGCCCCGGGTTGTCAGAGCGGGAAAGTGAGCAGGGAAGGGACCCCGTTAGTGGAGGAGGGTGTGGGGGTGCCGAGGGGTCCAGGCCCAGTGGGGGCCCCATCACTCATGGGGCAGCGAGCCCTCCAGGTAGGAGGGAAGAGGGAGCTCATCCGGTAGGGGGGAATCAGCACAGGGGGCTCCAGCGGCCCCCCGCCCCTCAGTTGTGAATGGAATTAAATGGCTCAGGGTCAGAACCGTCACCCTAATGACTAGGCCCTGGTGAGGCTGGGAGGTAGGCGGGGCCTGCGCGCCCAGAGCGGCCGCGCGGGGCGGGGCTTGCGCGTCGGTGGGCGTGTCGTCCCCTGGCCCCGCCCCGGGCTGGAATAAGCTGCGCGGGCCGCGGCGGGCGGGAGCAGAGCCGGCCTCGGAGCGGAGTGGGACTGCGCGCCCTCGGGGTGAGTGGAGCCCCAGCTCTCCCGCCACCCGCTTCCGCTGCCCGAGGACGAGTCCTGGCGCCCTGCCAGGCCTGGAAGTGGAGGCAGCTCCCGCGGTCACCCCGCCGGGGCAGGGGAGGCCGTGAGGAGCCGGAGGACGGGATGGTACCCCAACCCCGGAGCCCCGCTGCCGGGCCGGGGCCCGGAGCATCTGCTTGGCGGGACGGAGTCCATTTCACAGATGAGGAGAGCGAGGCTCGACCCGCCAGGGAGTGGCGAGCCGGGTCATTCCGACCCCAGAGCCCCGGCCTGGAGAGGAGGGGCGGGGCCGGGAGCGGGGGCCGGGGCGGGGGCTGCGCCTCCCGCGGCCGCCCGGGACCAGGAAGCGTCCGCGTGTCCCGCAGGCCACGCCGGGCCTCGGGGCCCCTCGGGATCTCCGCTCCGAGGCTCGCCCGTGCCCCTCGCAGTCTGATTGGGGGCCGGGGTGGGATGAAGCCAGAGCCCAGGACAGGAACTTCCGAACCTGCACCCCGGTCCCGGTCCCGGTCCTGGCCTGGCTTGGGTGCCCTCCCCCCCTCCCCCCCCCCCGCGTGTCCCAGCCTCGGATGACCTGGAACACTGGGCTCAGTACCCCTCCCCTGCGCTGCTGTCAGGAGGTGTGGCTGAAGGAATTTGGGGAGGGGGCTCTGGGTCTTTTTTCGTCACCTCCTTGGTCAGGTCCTTTCTCCTCCTCCGGTGTCCAGGTCCCAGCCAGGAGGAAATGGAGGTCCAGAGAGCGTAAGGGACTTGCCCAGGTTCACACAGTAACAAACACGAAGGGGCAGCCCAGGGCCTGTGGCTTACAGCTGTGCCCTTGGGTAGTGGGGGTGACAGCCCCACCCTCCCAGGCCGGGCCCTGCCCTTCCGCAGTCCCTGCTTGCAGGGGTTCGGTTATTTCCCAAGGAGGAGGAGGGCTGCAAAGTTCCTATTCCAAGTTAAGCAACCAGGTGGGGGCCGGGGGGGGGGGGGGGGGGGGGGGGGGGGGGACACCCAGACAGCAGGCAGGGCGGGGCCTCGGCTAAGAGGAGTGGGTGAGAGCTGGCAGGGCCTGCTGGAGCCCCCTGGCCCTGGGTCCCGTGGCCAGCCCCTCCAGCCTTCCAGCCAGGCCCTTCCTGCCCAGTGGTCTCAGTTTTACCTTACAGTTTTCACTTTCGTTAGTTTCAACACTGCCATGAGCAAGTGCAGCCTGGAAGCAGGCGTGGGGTGGGGGGGGCAGCCCCTGCCAGGCCATCCACTGCGGGGAGGGGGGAGGCCCAGAAGAGACTCCACCCCACCCCTAGGGGCTGGGGGACTCAGGGTTCTGTCCTGGTTTCTGTCCTGGTATGTCAGGCCCGACTGGAATGGCCGTGTGCCTGCAGCCCCTGGGATGAGCAGGGTCCAGGGGGAGGGCAAGTCAGAGAGGAGGGAAAAGGAGTCAGGAGAGTGTGCAGAGCCAGGGGTACCCGAGCTGCTGGGGGGGGGGGGGGGCGGGGAGGCGGGCAGGGGCTGTGGTTGGCTGTGGGGGAAGAAAGGATGGCTCCCTGAACAAGCACCCTGCTTACTTCCTGTGGGCCTCGGCACCCCGTGGCCCCTTCCTGGGCCTCAGTTTCCCCAGCTGTCAGGTGGAGGGTAGCAGCACGTTCTGGGATTGTGTGTGCAGCTGTGTCTCACCCCTGACCAGAACCCCCCACCCCCACCCCCTTGGAGCCATGGGCTCCTTATTCCGGAGCGAGGAAGTGGCCCTGGTCCAGCTGTTCCTGCCCACGGCTGCCGCCTACACCTGTGTGAGCCAGCTGGGCGAGCTGGGCCTCGTGGAGTTCAGAGACGTGAGTCGGGGCTGGCCAGAGCAGGGGGGGCTTCACTGCGCGGAGCCCCCCGTGCCAGTGTGGTGGGACCAGCCTGTGGCTCCGGGGGGTGCTCGGAGCCTCTTTGGCAGAGGCAGCTAAGGCCGGGGGAAAGCCAGGCCTGGGCCCCAGGGTGGACATCTTCTCTCGCTCCTCCCTGGGACACTGACCCCATCTGTGGCCACCGCAGCTCAACGCATCAGTGAGCGCTTTCCAGAGACACTTCGTGGTAGATGTCCGACGATGCGAGGAACTGGAGAAGACCTTCAGTGAGTGAGCCCAGCCCTCACCCCTGGCAGGCTCCCTGGAGGAGGTTCTGAAAGGAAGGGCCCCGTTAACTAGGTAGAAAGCAAAAGAATGGGGCAGATAGGCCCTGCCAAGCAAGACAGAGCAGCTGGAATTGAGGGGGTTCTTGGGATGGGGACCTGGGTGGTTGACAGGACCTGTGTCAGGGTTCGCTTGGAGAAGGGCCGAGAATCTCGTCCTGTGGGTGCCAGAGTCTGAAAGGGCTTCTAAGCAGATACGAGGTGTGGGCTGAACTTTCTGCCCTTTGATGAGCAGGGGGGTGTCCTCTGCAGTTCCCTCCTGGGGCCAGACCCGGGTCCCTGCGCTGGCCCTGCCCCAGCCGCGCTCGGGAAGGGCTGGCGCTCAAGTGGGAAGCCACAGCAGGCGCTCTTTTGTGGCGTGGCAGTCTGGCTTATATGGAGCCGTGGAGCCCTTGTCTCCACCGTGCTCTCCACGGTGGGGCTCGGGCCCCGGCTGGCATGGTGAGGGCAGAGTCGGCAGAGTCGGCAGAGCCCCGCCAACCTGAGCTCCAAGGGACAGGAGCAGAGCTCCAGGGACCAAGTTTTGGCTTGCGTATGGTGTGTGTGTGTGTGTGTGTGTGTGTGTGTGTGTGTGTGCGCGCGTGCGCATACATGCTGACCCTGGGTCTTGACTTGAACTCAGGGCCTGAGCACTGTCCCTGAGCTGCAGCACTCTACTGCAGCACTCTACCACTTGATCCACAGCTCTACTTCCAGATTTTTTTTGTTTTGTCCGTTGTGGAGCTTGAACTCAGGGCCTAGGTGCTGTTCCTGAGCGCCTTCTTTTCTTTTTGCTCAAGGCGAGTGCTCTACCACTTTGAGCCACAGCCCCTCTTCCAGTTTTCTGGTGGTTTGTTGGAGATAAGAGTCTCACAGACTTTCCTGCCCGGGCTGGCTTTGAACTGTCTGTGATCCTCAGATCTCAGCTTCCTGAGTAGCTAGATGACAGGCATGAGCCCCTGGGGCCTGGCCTTAGCTTGGGATTTTTTTTTTTTGGTCGGTCGTGGGGCCTGAACTCTGGGCCTGGGCGCTGTCCCTCAGCTCTTCAGCTCAAGGCTAGCGCTCTACCACTTGAGCCACAGCCCCACTTCCGGCTTTTTGCTTATGTGGTGCTGAGGAATCGAACCCAGGGCCTCAGGCATGCAAGGCAAGCGCTCTACCACTGAGCCACCTTCCCAGCCCCTAGCTTGGGATTTTTAAGGGACTAAACAGGTGGTCAAAGTAGTTTGAAGGACGTGTGGGAATCCTCTCGATGTCAGCCTGTCCTCGGCTCACATCGGACGGCTTCCATGGCCCTGCATGGCCCCGTGACCCCTCTCCTCCCCCTCCCCTCCCTCTCAGCCTTCCTGCAGGAGGAGGTGCGCAGGGCTGGCGTGGCGCTGCCCCAGGCGGAGGGCCGGCTGCCGGCACCTTCGCCCCCAGACCTGCTGCGCATCCAGGAGGAGACAGAGCGCCTGGCCCAGGAGCTGCGGGACGTGCGGGGCAACCAGCAGGCACTGCGAGCCCAGCTGCACCAGCTGCAGCTCCACACCGCCGTGCTGAGCCAGAGCCACAGCCCCATGGTCAGCTCCAGCCTGGGCCAGCACGGGGGGGGGGGGGGCTGGCACGGGTCTAACAGGGCTGTGGCTCCCATCCCAGCCAGCAGCTGCTCACACCGATGGGCCCTCCTCGGAGAAGACCCCCCTGCTCCTGTCCGCCGCGGGGCCACACCAGGACCTGAGGGTCAAGTGAGTGAGGCCCCAGGGCCGGGGTCAGTGGAGAGAGACAGGCCAGCCCAGCTCCGACACCCTGCCTCCCTCACCTATGACCCCGCCCTCTGCCTCCTCCCTGAAGCCCAGAACATTCTTTAGTCTCAGGCCCCCCTTCCCGCGCCTTTGGAGCTTTCTTCCAGTGGTCTCCTGGCCTGGCTGGGCAAGGCGGGTGGGTGGTGGGAGCTCCCTCCTCCAGCCTCTGGTGGCAGCTTTGTGGCAGGTGCTGTGGCGCCCCACAAGGCCGCCGCCCTGGAGCGCCTGCTCTGGAGAGCCTGCCGCGGCTTCCTCATCGCCAGCTTCCAGGAGACTGAGCAGCCGCTGGAGGACCCCGTGACGGTGAGCTGGCGTGGGCTGGGCTGCGGCCGTCCTGGGTGGAGCCAGGACTCTAGGGTAGACTGAGCCTGGCTCCTCCGGCAGGGTGAGCCTGCGACATGGATGACCTTCGTCATCTCCTACTGGGGCGAGCAGATTGGGCAGAAGATCCGCAAGATCACAGACTGGTGAGCCACGCATGCGCACCAGCGCCACCAGGCCGCCACAGAGGTTCAGAGCCCTCCGGGTGTGTGTGTGTGTGTGTGTGTGTGTGTGTGTGTGTGTGTGTGTGTCGCCACAGAGGTTCAGAGCCCTCCGTGTGTGTGTGTGTGTGTGTGTGTGTACATGCCAGTCCTGGGGTTTGAGGGTCTAGGCACTGTCCATTAGCTTTTTGGCTCAAGGCTGATACTCTCCCACTTGAGCCACAGCTCTACTTCTGGCTTTTTTGGTGGTTAATTTGGAGGTGAGTCTCATGGATTGTTCTGCCTGGGCTGCTTTGAACTACAGTCCTCATATCTCGGCCTCCTGAGTAGCTGGGGTTACTGCCCAGCAGGCTATGGCTTCTTGCTGACCCATATATGCCAGCCTCTGATGTCCACTCCCCCAGGGATGTCCTGCCTTAGCTCAGCCGGTGAGCTTCCAGACTCACCCCCCCCCCCCCGCCTCTCCTCACCCCTGCAGCTTCCACTGCCATGTCTTCCCATTCCTGGAGCAGGAGGAAGCCCGGCGTGGCGCTCTGCAGCAGCTACAACAGCAGAGCCAGGAGCTGCAGGAGGTGGGCGCCCACTGGAAGGGACCCCGCCCCCCCCACCTCGCCATCCCTGCTGACCACTCGCTCTGTCCCAGGTCCTGGGGGAGACCGAGCGGTTCCTGAGCCAGGTGCTGAGCCGTGTACAGCAGCTGCTGCCACCCTGGCAGGTGCAAATCCACAAGATGAAGGCTGTGTACCTGATGCTGAACCAGTGCAGCGTGAGCACCACGCACAAGTGCCTCATCGCCGAGGTGTGGTGTGCCACGCGGGACCTGCCTGCCCTGCAGCAGGCGCTGCAGGAGAGCTCTGTGAGTGTCTTGCTCACACAGACCCACCCCCTCCCTCCTCTCCTCTCCTCCAGGCAGTAGCTTCAGGGTTCCTCTGTCCACCCTTGCCCCTTGAGGGATGGCACCCAATCTCCCCCTGGCTCCTCCAAGGAGTCCTCCAGATGGCTACTGCCCCACAGTCCTCCCTCCTGACTCCCCAGAGCCCCTGCAGGCTTCGCAGGGAGACCAGTCAGAAACCTAGGTCAGACAGGGCACCTGTGGCTCACACCTGTAATCCTAGCTACCCAGGAGCCTGGATCTGAGGATCAAGATTTGAAGTCAGCCTAGGCAGGGAATTCCATGAGACTCCCATCTCCAAGTATCCAGCAAAAAGCCAGACATGGAGCTGTGGCTCAAGTGGTAGAGCACCAGCCTTGAGCAAAAAAAGCTAAAGGACAGTGTCCAGACCCTAGGCTCAAGCCCCAATACCAGCACACGCACACAAAAAAAGGAAGGAAGCTAGCAAGCAAGCAAGCTAGGTCAAATCCAGGCTCTCCAAGGCACTGGCCATGTAATCTGCCCTTCCAGGAGCCCTAGGATGCCTGGCAGAGGTGGCTCTTCCTGGGGAGCGGGCGTTAGAGGGAGGGGTGCTATAGCACACACCACTGGGACAGTGCTTAAGGGGGGGCTAGGCTCCCCCTCCAGGCCCTGATGGATGGACACATTTCTTTTTTTGAAGCCATGTCCAGTCTGGGTAAAATCTGGCTGTCTCCGTGTCCTTGACTTTCTTAGGAAAAGAGCTGCCCAGACCCCTACCCCACTTCCTGTTCCTGCCACTTGCCCCCCCCCCCCCCCCCCCCGCCAAGCAGTCCACCTCTCAGGTCTTGGGGCCCTTGAGGACCCCCAACATCAGCCTCTGTCTTTCTGCCTGGTACCCCAGAGCGAGGAAGGAGTGAGCGCCGTAGCTCACCGTATCCCCTGCCGGGAGCTGCCCCCAACCCTCATCCGCACCAACCGCTTCACCGCCAGCTTCCAGGGCATCGTGGACGCCTACGGTGTGGGCCGCTACCAGGAGGTCAACCCCGGTGAGAGCCAGCGCGGGCTCACCCCAGGCCAGCCCTGCCATCTGTGTCAGGGACCCGGGCAGGCTCCGAGGCCCATGGGTACAAGCCTGGGAGGGGCAAGAGGTCTCCCACCCCGGCCTGTCCCATACCCCTGAGGTCAGAAGTAGGCTTCCTGTCATGCTCTGGCTGGGCCTGGATTGGTCTTTTTAAGTCACAGTGGAGCCAGCAGAGCTGGTGCAGGGAATGGCTGCAGCAGCCGGGTTTGATGATTTTCAAATTTCTGGGCCTCTGTTTCTTCGTCTGGAAGATGGGAGCAAGGACATCTCAGGGAAGTGTTGAGGTTGACGACATTAGAGCCTGCGCACCAGCCTCCACCAGCTGCTGCTCTGGCTTGTTAAGCTACAAATTATAATTTTTTTAATTATTTTTTGTTGGTCATGGGTTTTGAACTCTGGGCCTGGGCGCTGTCCCTACACTCTTCAGCTCAAGACAAGCACTCTACCACTTGAGCCACAGTGCCACTTCCGGTTTTCTGAATGGTTTATTGGAGATGAGTCTCATAGACTTTCCTGTCTGGGCTGGCTTTGAACCAGGATCATCAGGTCTCAGCCTCCTGAGTAGCTAGGATGACAGGCGGGAGCCACTGGCACCTGGCAAATTATAATTTTTTTTTTTAAGAAGTTGGTGTTCATCATAACCTGTCATAAAGGGTTAGCGTTCCAAGGTCTCATCCAAACCACACAGCCTCTAGAGAAACCTCTCTGAGTGGTCATTATTGGGACACCAACCTAACTTTTGGGGACTCACGATTCAGCCCATAACAGGGCATGTGTATTGGAGTCCTCTCAGCCGCATCAGGAATTCTTCCCGGTTAGCTGGGGGGAAAGGCTGGCCACCAGCAGCTCTTGCCTGTCATCCCAGCTACTCAGGAGGCTGAAATCTGAGGATCGCAGTTTGAAGCCAGCCCAGCAGGAAAGTCCGTGAGATTCTTATCTCCATTTAACCAGCATAAAACTGGAAGTGGCTAGCTGTGGCTCAAGTGGTAGAGCATTCATCTTGACTGAAAAGGCTCAGGGACAGTGCCCAGCCCCACGATCAGGTGACCAGTTCCACCTGCATGACCATGTGCTAGGACCATCTCTGTGCTTCTACTTAATGCTTTTTCTGTTTGAGGGGTCTGCACTGGGATTTGAACTCAGAGCCTTACACTTGCTAGGCAGACACTGTCACTTGAGCCTTTGTTGTGTTTTGTTTTTTGTTTTTGCCAGTTGTGGCAACTCTGGGCCTGGGCGCTGTCCCTCAGCTCTTCAGCTCAAGGCTCTTCAGCTCCACCTTTGTTGTTTTTGAGTAATGTCTCACTTTTTTGGCCTGGCCTGGCCTGGCCCACTATCTTCCTCTTTGCATTTCTTGTAGCTGGGATGACAGGCGCACACGCCACTGTACTCATCTTTGTATTGTGTGAGATGGGGACAGTCTCCTGAGCTTTTTGCTTTGACTGGCATCCAACTGTGGTTTGCCTGCATCAGCCTTTTGAATAGCTAGGATTACAGGTGTGGGCCATGGTACCTGGCTTAGTGCTCTTAAATATAACAATAGCAGCCAGGTACCATGGCCGGTGACTGCCTGTTGTCCCAGTTTTCTCAGAAGGCTGAGGCAGGAGCATCACTTCCAGTAGTTCAAGACTGACCTGGGAGCTGGGAAGGTGGCTCAGTGGTAGAGCGCTTGCCTTGCATGCTTGAGGCCCTGGGTTCGATTCCTCAGCACCACATAAGCAGAAAAAGCCAGAAGTGGTGCTATGGCTCAAGTGGTAGAGCACTAGCCTTGAGCTGAAGAGCTGAGGGACAGCGCCCCGGCCCAGAGCTCAAGCCCCATGACCAAGAAAAAAACAAACAAAAGACTGATCTGGGCAACATAGCAAGACCCTCAGCTCCCCAATCTCAAAAACAAGCAACAGCAATAGCAAACAGCTAGAGGTGCTCTGTCAAGAGCCTTATTTATAATAGCCCTCTGAAGGGCGCCCACCTCACAGCTGGGGCAGCAGGCTCAGAGGGGTCAAGTAGCAAACCCAGGGTCACACAGCTCCCCAAGGCAGGCTCTGGGACACCAGCAAGCAGTCCCCAGCCTAGTGGTTCCTGGGGTCCTCGGTGGGGCCCTGGCTGACCACCCGCCCTGTGCTGCAGCGCCCTACACCATCGTCACCTTCCCCTTCCTCTTCGCTGTGATGTTCGGTGATGTCGGCCACGGTCTGCTCATGTTCCTCTTCGCCCTGGTCATGGTGCTTGCTGAAGACCGGCCAGCCATGAAGGCCACACAGAATGAGGTGGGAGCCATGGTGGCCGGGATGGGACGGGGGGGGGGGCAGGAAGCCCCTCACCAGCCCGTCCCCCACCCCCAGATCTGGCAGACCTTCTTTGGGGGCCGCTACCTGCTCCTGCTCATGGGCCTGTTCTCCATCTACACCGGCTTCATCTACAACGAGTGCTTCAGCCGTGCCACCACCATCTTCCCCTCGGGCTGGAGCGTGGCCGCCATGGTCAACCAGTCAGAATGGAGGTGAGGCCTGTGCCCCCCACTCTTTCCCGTAGCCCCTGACCCACCTCCACGGGCCTGACCACTGTCCTCTGTTGCTGCAGTGACCAGTTCCTGTCTCAGAACCCGCTGCTCACCTTGAACCCCAACATCACCGGCGTCTTCCTGGGGCCCTACCCTTTTGGCATCGACCCCGTGAGTCCAGCAGCCCCCCACGCCATGGGTGGTGGAGGCCGGCGGAGGTCCTGCCAGGCCTCTGGGGCCGCATCTATTTAGTCCTTAGTGCGCCAGGATCTGCCTGGGCACAGGACACAGCGCATGCCCCACTGGGCCTACCTATCACTGTCTCCCAAGGGAGCCGAGAGGCCTTGGGGTCAAGCCTGGGCTGGTCCTCTCATGGGAAGTCTGGCCCAAGTGACAACCCTTGGGCACCCATTATCTGACCGTACCCTGTCAACCTTTCACGCCCCTCCTACTGGTCCCCATGGGGACGGAGGGGGCTCCCAAGAGGGCCAGCACAGCAATGGCAGACTTGGGCTGAGGGCTTCCTGGCTGCGGTGACCGGGATTCCTGGGGTCTCGCCCCTCCTGCCACCCCCAGATCTGGAGCCTGGCTACCAACCACCTGAGCTTCCTCAACTCCTTCAAGATGAAGATGTCTGTCATCCTGGGCGTCACCCACATGGCCTTTGGGGTGTTCTTGGGAATCTTCAACCACATGTGAGAGCTGGGCTGCCAGGAGCAGGGGTAGGGGGGCAGGGTGGGGTGCGTGGCTGGGCAGCACCCCAGTGACCCTCACAACCCTCCTGCTCTCCTCAGGCACTTTGGCCAGGCCCACCGGCTACTGCTGGAGACTCTGCCCGAGCTCATCTTCCTGCTGGGCCTCTTCGGCTACCTGGTCTTCCTGGTCATCTACAAGTGGCTGCGGGTCACGGCCGCGGAGGCCGCCTCGGCGCCCAGCATCCTCATCCATTTCATCAACATGTTCCTCTTCGCTCGCAGCCCCACCAACCGGCCGCTCTTCTCAGGGCAGGTGGGCTGGGGGGGGGGGGGGGGTGAGGGGCGGCTGAGGCCCTGCCGATCTCCGTGCTGCAGGCCTGGCGCCTCTCAGGAGTCCTTGATTTCGTGAGGGGCACCGGGGGGAGCAGCCCTCAGCCCCCCTGGCCCACTCACCCACAGGAAGCAGTCCAGTATGTGCTGGTGGTCTTGGCCTTAGCCACAGTGCCCGTCCTGCTCCTAGGCACACCCCTGTACCTGCTACACCAGCATCGCCGCCGCCGCCGCCGCTCTCAGAGGAAGCCTGCGGGTCAACAGGTAGAGGCTGGAGCTCATGGAGGACTGTGAGGGAGGCCAGGGATGCTACAGCTGGTCGGGTGGACTCCTGCAGGTGGGGGGGTGGGAGGAGAAGGGGGGGTGGGGTAGGGTTGTGACACCTGCTCCCCGCCCTGGGCTTGCAGGGTGAGGACAAGGCTGGGCTTCTGGATTCTCCTGAGGCCGCCCCCTCTGAGAGCGGCTGGGGCTCCGACGAGGAGCAGGCCGGGGGCCCAGGCGAGGAAGAGACCGAGGTGGGTGCAGCTCCTTCTTCAGGGGACATGGGCGGCTGGCCCCAGCTGTGGGCCCTCACTGCCACCTACCTACCTGTTCCAGTGTGTCCCCTCTGAGGTCTTCATGCACCAGGCCATCCACACCATTGAGTTCTGCCTGGGCTGCATCTCTAACACGGCCTCCTACCTGCGCCTCTGGGCCCTGAGTCTGGCCCATGCCCGTGAGTGATCTGCCAGAGGGGCGGGCGGGCAGGCGGACAGGGACTAGGGGCCTCGGTTGGCTCTGCTAGATGGGTGGCCTGGGCACGTCCTTTCTCCTTGGACCTGTCTCCCCTTGTGTAAAACAGGGATGACAAAAGGAGGTGCCATAAGCCGGGCTTTGGAGGCTCACACCTGTTATCCTAGCTGTTCAGCAGGCTGAGTGCGAGATTTCAGTTCCAAGTCACCTGGGCAGGAATGTGAGCCTCTTACTTCCCATTGACCAGCAAAGTCCAGAAATGGAGCTGTGGCCCAAGTGGTAGAGTGTTAGCTTTGAGTGAAAAAAAGGTCAGGGACAGCGTCCAGGCCCTGAGTTCAAGCCCCAGTACTGGGGCTTGTAATGGCTTGTCAGCCCTATGGGCAAAGACGACGGGGGCTACTCACAGGGCCAGCAGGTGCCCTCTGGCCTTGGCCCAGTGCCCGCTCCTTGGCCCCCAGAGCTGTCGGAGGTCCTGTGGGCCATGGTGATGCGTGTGGGCCTGAGCATGGGCCAGAAGGTGGGTGTGGCGGCTGTGGTGCTGGTCCCCGTCTTCGCGGCCTTCGCTGTGCTGACAGTGGCCATCCTGCTGGTGATGGAGGGGCTCTCGGCCTTCCTGCACGCTCTGCGGCTGCACTGGTGAGTCCCTTCCGCACTGGGCAGGGTGGTGGGGTGGGCCCGGGGCTCTCTGAACCAGCCCCCCACCTCTTCCCCAGGGTGGAGTTCCAGAACAAGTTCTACGTGGGCACTGGCTATAAACTGAGCCCCTTTTCTTTCACCGTGGAGGATGAGTAGCGCCCGCTGAAGCTGGCACGTCTCCAGTCCCGGCCGCCCAGAGCAGAAGCAATAAAGAGCTGGCAGGCCTGGGAAGTGCGTTTTGCTTCTTTGGGACTCCAGAGCAGGACTGAAGCCAGGAGGGGCCGAGCCCTGGGCTCCCGCAGCCGGCCCCTCGCCTTTGTAGCTGAGGCAGGGGTGGGGTGGGCGGTGCTGGCCAAGGACCTGGGTTGGTGAAGTCTGAGCGCAGACCCGTGGCCTGTCCACTGTAACCCAGTCACAGGGCTCTGGATGTGTGCAGGAATGTTCTCGCTTGGAGTGAGCAAGCAGTTCCAACCAGCTGGAGTGTGAGCTCCTACCCAGGAGGTGTGTGGACTGGCTCAGACTGCGCTGTTTTGCCAGTGCACCATGCCTGGTGCAAGAACCCCGAGTGTCACCCCCGGGGCAGTGGACTCGGGCCGCGCCTCTCCACGATGGGCTTGGAGGTGAAGCAGCACATGCTGTCTGCCCAGAGGACTGTTGTGGCCAGCCCAGATCCCACCCGAATTCCAGGACAAGCAGTGGTGGGCCGGCGGGTGACATGGGCTAGGCGGCCTGCAGTCTGGATACCTGACTCAAACGCATGCGCTGCCCCCGCCTCCCTCACAAGTTCTGCACGTGACCAAAGTGAAGTTTGGGGAGGGAGCAGGTGAGCTTGCGGGCAGCACAGCGGGTCGGACCCCTGGGGCTCTGGCAGGAGGAAGCAGCAGCACAGGGAGGAGGGGAGTCGTCGAGGGGCGTCCAGAGCCAGTGCTGCAAAGCGCCCCACCCAGCTGGTGCTGCGCCTGGCACTGCCTACCCAGAAACAGGAGCCCTCATGGGAGTTAGGACACATGCGGGATGATAGCGGAGTCAGGTTTCAACTCTTTATTTATCTGTAGAGTACAGTCCCTGGTAGCAGAAATATATGCACAAAACAAAAAAACCAACAACACAAAGAGTTTAGAGGTTAAAAAAAAAGGTAAAAATGTTCCCATTGGACATTCAATATACAGGGATTTCACAGCTCTCGCCCACCCGTGCCCAACCCCAGGCTGCTGTGTCCCACAGCGGTGCCAGGGGCAGGGTGAGGCCGGGAAGGCTGGCCCCTCTCAGAAGGCCGGCAGCAGTGAACACGGCAGGGTGTCCTAGGCAAGATCCTGAGAAGCCAGCTGTGGCGCGGGCAGAGGAAGGCCAGAATGTCTGGAGCCTTGGCCATAGTACCCACTCCCGGGGGAGCCCCGTGCTGCCAGAAGCTGGAGCTCAAAGCACCGCCTTAGGTGCGCAGAGCAGGCCAGGGCTTCCAGGCACCACGGGCCAGCACTGCCCTTGCAGCTCCCAGACTTGCAAGGCGCGGACCCCGCACGGCTGCAGCCACTGGCAGAGCCTCTTCACAGTATGTCTGCTCGCTCCTGTCCTCAGGACCGAAGCAGCTGTCGAACACATCAGCACATACTAAGGGCCGGGGCCATGTGCTCCGGGCATGGGAAGTGTCAATCAGCGTCAATCCGTGGTGACGCTGCTGACGTGCTATGTGGGCCGTGTTAGGCTGGATGCCTTAGCCCAGAACATAAAACACCCCCTTCCTCTAGGTGGAAGGGTCTGAGATATTGCACTATATTTCTGCTTCCTAGTGAGATCGTAAACAAGATAGGGAAGAAATGTTACTCCACTTTAATACAGTCTTTAGTATCATACACATCTGTGCGCAGTGAGTGAGACGTCCGAGGCCCTTGTGCCCAGTGCCATGGTGCAGTACAGAGGGTCCGGCCTGGCCGCCTCCCGCAGTCCAGTGGTGAGGGGTGGAGACCTCCCCAGTCACACCCCGAGCTTCCTCTTCTGGTCAAAGTAGGCATCGAACCTGGCTTGTGCATAGTCCTGAGACAGAAAAGAAAGGCCTCGATATTGGCCTTGTTTGCAGGACTCTGGCCTGCAACCAGCCTCGGGCTGAGGTGCAGACTCTCAGCACTGTCCCCACCTTGCCTCTAAAGTGGCAGCCACTCCAGAAGGGCTCTGTGGCTCAAGCCTGCACAGTTCCCTGGACAGAGCAGCAATGACACATCCACCCAAGACAGCTGCCCTTCTAAAGCGAAAGGCGCTGGGTGCTCAAGCGTAGAACAAGGTGACCACAGAGATGTACCTGCTGTGTGCACCACAGGCCACTGCTTATAAAGAGCTCTTCCTTGGGCAGGAAGAGAGGAGGCGCTGCAACCAGACAGTCCCCAAACGCAGACCACAGCCTTGCATTTGTTCCGGGCCCCCGTCCTCACAGAGGCGCCCCAACACAGGGTTTCCCTAGGCCTATGTCAAGGACAGCTCTTTCCTTCCTTCCTTCCTTTTCTTTCTCTTTCTTTCTTTCTGTCAGTCTTTCACTTAGGGCCCGGGTACTGGCCCTGAGCTTTAGTGCTCAAGATTAGACCCACAGCCCCACTTCTGGCTTTTGGTGGTTAATTGGAGAGAGTCTCATGGTTTTTCCTGCCCAGGCTAGCTTTGAACTGTGATCCTCAGAGCTCCACTTCCTGAGTAGCTAGGGTTACAGGCATGTGCCACCAGCACCTGGCTAACATTTCTTGATGTGGAAAAAATGACAGTCTTGCTTGGTTACCATGTGCTGGTGAAAGCTAGGACGTCTAATTCAGAAAGTACCAGCTTCCAACTCAAAGCAGAGTATTGCAGGTTACAGTGTGGAGTAGCATAGCATGGGGGAGGGGAAGGGGTGGATGGATGGACGGACGGGGACTCACCCTCCCTCCCCCGACATACACACTGTCACTTAGTGTCCTCCTGTGAGAAGGGGCCAAGCGAGGCTAGGGGCTGGCCATCCTCCTCCAGGCTCCCACTGACAGCAAGGTAACTGCAGACTCACGGGGAAGCTCAAGCAGCCTTGCTGGACTGGTGCCCCAGGCCACTGAACTTGGGGACCACGTCAACCTCTCCAAGTACCAGTCAGTTGCTGCAAGCCCTCGCATATTCTACGATAGGCCCTTTCCCCAGAGAAGAGAATGGCCCATAAACATACCATGTACCCAAACTCAATGGAGGAAATCTTGGCCTGTACAATGGACCAAAGTCCCCAGAAGAAATGGGAGGCGAGGGCAAACCTGTAATCACAAAAGCAAGAAAGGCCATGAGCTGCGCGGCGTCAGGCGCACGGAGGGCCCCGGGGGCCCTTGGCAGGCCACCCCTGGCAGCAACAGGTTGCCTTGCAAGTATAGTATGCCCGCTGCCTGGCCCAGGCACGGTGCCACAGCGGCAGCTGCCATGGTGCTCTCTGCTCCTCGTATGGGGCGAAGCACGTACCAATGAGGAGCTGCTCCCGATGGCCCTTTGGTGAGAAGCTTCTGGAATGGAGCAGGCGAGCCATCCCACTCCAGCCCCTAAGAACCTCATTACTGTACTGAAGCACCCCCATTACAGTTTCTAAAGCATCAAGGGACAGAAGTTACCTGTTGACTTCAAGCAATATTTCCTCTTCAATAAAGGATTGTTCTTCGCTACTGAGCTTTTCAAAATCACTTTGGAATGTTGTCAAGTAACTGGAAATAAAATGGAGCTTAAAAGAGAAGTAACTGGGTTAGGATCAACGGTGGCTAGAGCAGCGCTACCATGCTGCCTGCGAAGCACACATGCATGGCGAATGGCCGTGGGGCCGGTCAGGAAGCCCCGCAGGGCAGCGGCTTGTGTCCCCACCAGGGGCTGGCTGGCAGCGACAGACAGTCTCACTGGTCTGAGACTGTGGGGTTGCTATCACTTGGGGAGCATGTGCTTGTGGAGTCACTGATCCAGGCAGGCTCGCCTGCATGGAACCTCGTCCAAACTGGCCAGCACTTCTCGCAGCTGCCGTGAGGCGCTGGGGAGCCCAGCGCGTGGCAGACATTCCCTTGGCAAGGAAGCTGGACTAGCCAAGGCCAGGGGCCTTCCACTGCTGAGATGCCAGGACTGCGTTTAGAGAATGGTGAAGCTGAGCTTCCATCCAAGGAAAAAGTTGACCTAAGGCCCCAGCAGCATTATAAAATACACAATCCACACAGAAGCCCTCAGCAGCTGCGTAGGGCAGGCCACATGCTGAACTGTTCACACCAATCAGAAAGGGGGTATCTGAGAAAACCTTACACCCATAGAGAATCTTACGCTTTATAGAATATATACTAGGGGAACTTCCTTAGGTTTTTGCAGTTACAAAGCTCTGCAGCATGCAGTAAAATAGACCTGCCACTGCCCGCACGCACTCCGTCTCGTTTACAGCGGCCACTCTGACTACGTGTCTGCCACCTGGTGAGAATTAAACACCCAATACTGTGACCTTCTCCTCAGGCCAACCATGGCGTCCCACCATTGTCCAATCGTCCTCATGAACCTGGCTGCACAAATTCAAGGGCATCCCCACCAGCCTTAAAACATGGCTACACAACAAGGCAGTGTTTGTGGGCCCTCAGCGCGTCCCCATTTGAACAGTGAGCCCAGGACATGGACCACCTCCCCGAGATGCCTGTTCCTGGCCCTGGATCTGTGCATACGCAGCAGCCCCAACCCTCTCCTCTCTACCTGCCACGGGATGCTGTGGGAAGTACTGCTGCCCACCCAGGTCAGCAGGATGGGGAGCTGTCATGTAGCAGTGGGGCTCCAGGGAGGGGAGGTACGGCCCACATGCACTCGGGTGAGCTGGGAACACTACTCCCCGCACTGCCCAGCTGTAGCTCCATAGCTGGGAGCCTCCATAGTGCCCCTCACCACGGCCTTTGAGGGCTGTAAAGTAGAAGGGGGGATCCCAGGAGGAGAGTCCCAGAACTCATCCTCCAGCGGCAGGCTGCCTGGAACTTGGGGCAGGAGAGGAAACTTCACATCCAGGGCATTTGCTCCAGCTACTAGATCATAGGCCCAAGATGCTGTTACTCTGCATGAGAGAGATGCAGAGGAAGGGCCGCAGTTCGCAGACAGAAGTCTGGGGAGCAGGAGGAGGCCGCCCTTGCAGGAAACACTGGAGGCCCACACGGAGACCGTGCTCTCTTCTGACTGAATGAGGCACCAACAGTGAACCCTACCACCAAGTCTGCACCACTTTAAACAGAAGTACATGTGTGGGTGCATGTTTTCATTCTGGGGGGGGGAGGGAATGGTAATCTGAGGTCTTCTGCATGCCAGCTGTACCTCTGAGCTACATCACCAGATTTTTACCTTATTTTGACTCCAACCAAGTTGTCCATGCTGGCCTCTGACTTACAATCTTCTTTTTTTTTTTGCCAGTCCTGGGCCGGAACTCAGGGCCTAGGAACTGTCCCTGAGATTTTGTTAGCACTTTACTACTTGAGCCACAACACCACTTCTGGATTTTTCTGTTTATGTGGTACTGAGGAATCGAACTCAGGGCTTCATGCATGGTAGGCCAGCATTCTACCACTAAGCCACTTTCCCAGCCCCCAACTTACAATCTTCCTAGCCTCAGGAGTGGCTGGGATTACAGGCATGAACCGTGATGCCCAACCAAAATAATATTTTTTAATATAAACAAAAGGTTTTGTCTAGTCATATTACAACTTAAAAACAGCACTTTTAAGGCTAGGATGGGGCTCAGAGACAGAGTACTTGCCTACCATACAAAAGGTCATTAGATCTACCCTAGCACCCAGGCCCTGAGGAATAGATAAAAGTAAACAAGTATCGTTAAAACTGACCGTGTAATTGCATAAAATTAATTTGTGTATAAAACTAACTCATCCTACCTGTTGCCTCCTGGTAGGATACTTCTGAATGTTTGCTTTGAAAAAGGGGTATTTTTCATAGCTGTAATCGTACATCCATTCACAGAAATGATTCCCAATGTCGAATCCCCTGTGAGACAGAAGGCAGGCAGGGGTGAAACACACCAGGGAGCCTCCAGGCTACCTGACTAGCAAGAAGGCCAATACTGCAATTAAACACTTGGTAAATTACCTGTAATTATAGCTGCTGTATTCAAAGTCAATGAGCATCAGCTTCTGCTTTTCAGAATTCTCTTGGCCTTCTAGCAGTAAGACATTACCTGTGGACAAGTTTGGTTACAGGACTGATGTGACAACAGAAGGCTCGAGTTCTTGGAAGCAGAGCTGAGGCGGGTCTGGCTCTGCTGGGGAGTCCTGGGTGACTTAACTTCAGTTTCTGCAGACATCGCGGGTGCAGAGAGCACACAGATGTGCTGCCGTGGGGTCCGGGCAGAGGCTCCAGACCCACCTTTCACTCCCTGGTCCCCCTGGTCTCCCTAGCTGACTGTGGAGCAAAGCCTGGCCTGTCACTCTGCCGTCCAGTGCGGTACTTCCCAAATGCCTGCCAGGCTGGCGCTCTCCTGGCCTAACCACCACAGACTGCTGGAGAGGGCACATCAGCTGGGAGCCATGACAGGGGCCTTATTGTTAGTGAGGATACCGCAAAGCTCCACTGCTTTATTTATTTAGTCACTGGTTGGTTTAAAGGAGTCACAGGCATGCATGCACTGCAAGCAGTTGAACACGTGACACGAAGTTCAGGTATACCATTCCAAATCATCCCAAATCCTGAAGTCAGTGATTATTCTTTTAGATTTTTCCCCCCATCTAAACATTTTGTTATTTTTGCTGGAAATGGATTTTAATACTCTACGTGTTTTTCTAAGCCTTGCTTTTTCTCTTAGTAAATACTACAGAATTTTCTATTAGCAGGCCAAAACCCAATCTGGTTGCACAAGACCGCGTCATCTGCCGTGTCTACCCCAGCTGCGTTCCTCACCACCCAGTGACCGCCAAGCATACACATAAACCTGATCTGCCGCAAACCGTGGCAATCTTACCTTCTTGACAATCATTGTGACAAAATACAACTGGAGATGGAGTAGATTCGAGCAATGACCTGGAAAAGAAAAGAATTACTGTTACCTGTCAAGCTTTTTAAAGTAAGATGCAAGCAGCATCGTAGACCGCTCAGATGGCCAGCCCTGCACTAATCTCCAGGATACAGTCTCTAATAGTTTTCATCCCAGTTCTGAAACCGTCATGTGGAGACAAGTGTACAATGGCTCAGCCCAGGGATTCGCATAGGCCTCTGCGCACTGCAGGCCCTGTGCAGCTGCTCTTCGACCAGGGCTGCCCTCAAAGGCCGCTGGACTCCTCTGAGGGCTTTGTCCTGCCCACTCCCCAAAGCTCATGTCTCTACCTGGACAATCTGAGTCCACGTCCCTCCTCGGCACTTGTCACAACTTCACTTCATGCGGATCCTTCATTTTTCTTTCTTATTTTTGGAGGGGGTCAGTACTGGAACTTGAGCTCTGCCCGGTGCTCTCCCTGAGCTTTTTTACTCAAGGCTAGTGTGCTCTATCACTCACTCCACAGCTCCACTGCCAAGCCGAGGTGTATTAACCTTTTTCTCATCTGCTTACGCTACTCACTGCCCTAGACAACAGCCTGTCCCCCGAAAGTCTGCTTTTCCCTGAAAAACTTTCTCGTGAAGACTTCCTGGGCTGACGGGACGTGCACACACGAATGACATGCCGGCCCTGTTGTCAGGATTCGTGCACTGCATACTTCTGCAAGGAGACAGGAGCCAACACTCACCTCAGGTTCTCCAGTTCCAGAGGCAGGTTGTAACTGAGGAACTTCTGCAGCTGTTTCATTCTGGACTCCCCAGTAAATGTAATTCTCAGCACTTGATTTAGGTATCTGACATGGCAGGGGCAAGAGAAAGGAGAACAGTTCAGCAAGTGTGTTCGGTCAGGCCCCAGCCACGCACCCTAGAAGGATGGCAAGGGGGAGAGTGTGGGAGTGGCAGCCTTGTTTCCCCTACTCCATTCCACAGCCTGTTTATAAACAAGTCTTTCTCTATCCAGGAATGAACTGCATCATGCAAGGAAAAGACATTCACGAGATACCGGCAACGCCAAAGCCAAAGGGCCTCTGACTACCCACGGTCAGGTGACAGATGCCTGCTTCTGTGGCTGCCAGGAACTTCCGGCAAAAGATGAATGCAGACCAGCTGGTGTGACCACTTACTTTTCCATTGTTCCAAAAAGCCATTTGGGTTCCTTATTGAATGGCATTTTCATGCCATGAAATGTAGCCATTTTCTCAGCTATTTCTGCAGAAATATCTGGCAACCTTAATTCTTCAGTGTCTAAGCGCCGACTCTGAAAGATAAAATCGAGTAAAACTTGCCATCTGCCCCAGGAACCTGTGGCATGGGTTCCTACTGTCTCGGGAGAAACTTGTGTTTGTAAGGCATTTAAGGCTTATTCAGTATATGAAGTTCCCTTAGTGGAAGTGCCCAGAGGTCAAGCCCCAGGACCTGCACACACATACACACACATTTCCTAAGCAACGGACACTGTCCCCACAGACAGGAACCCAGCGATTGCCATGCGCTTCTACCATGAAGACTATTTCACTGTGAATGTGTCTAAGTGTGAAAGTTTACCCTCACACCGCAATAATTGAAGCCTCCCTCCCCCGCTGCGTTGGTGTGCACACCTGCTCACTCGCTCACACACATGAGCAACCCTGCCTTCTGCAGTTCTCCCCGTGGCCTCAGCACTTGGCGTGCCATTGAGGAGGCTTCGGAGGGCTGCACCAACAAGGAGACAGTCATGGAGGACAGACCAAGCCTCTGGACATGGCACTGCCCAGTTGTTCTGGCGGCCCTTCCACAGTGGGCTCAGGGAGCTTCTGGTCCAGCTTCTCCCAGAGAGCTGAGCCCCTAGAGGCAGCAGCATGGGGTAGAAGCGATTGTACCCCACCTACAGAAGCCACACAACAAGGGTTAAATCAAGTGCAGGAGCATCCCGCATGACTGTGATTGAACAACAGTACAGTGCGAGACTCACGTGACCAGTGCCGTAGGCTCTGTAGATGCCGCCACTGCTGTAAGCTGTCACATGATGGGCAACACACGAGCTTGCGTACTTACACCAGCATCACCATCGTGTTTCATGATGACACGGTGACAGCTACAAGGCCACTGCGTGACACCGTGTTCTCCAATATGGGATCATTGTCACTGACATGACAGTGCATGAACTATGTTTTGTTTGGGAATGAGGAAAATGTAAAGCTAACATGCCCAAAGATGAGCAAATCTAGTACACCAAGCTCCCTGGCTAGCTCAGAGGGACCCTAAAGGAGGCTGCTGCCATGCCAGAGGCCGTCACCCAGGCCTCTGAAAGATGCCTGAGTCGTCAGGAAGAAACCCACAAGGAAAATACTGAATGAGGTGGAATCAAATAAATGCTGCTTTTTTCCTCTGCCATGCGGGAACAGGATCCAGGGCCCGAGGGTGTGCTAGCTAGGCCAAGGCTCTACCACAGAGCTACATCCCTCATGCCAAATGTCATTTCTATGGGTCAAAAATAGTTGAATATGGCAATTTCAAATGGCTCAACTTGGTATTTTCAATGAATTTATAAATAATAAATTTTAGCCGGGCGCTGGTGGCTCACGCCTGTAATCCTAGCTACTCAGGAGGCTGAGATCTGAGGATCGCGGTTCAAAGCCAGCCCGGGCAGGAGAGACTGTGAGACTCCTATCTCCAATAAACCACCAAAAAACCGGAAGTGGCGCTTCCGGTAAAGCGCTTGCCTTGAGCTGAAGAGCTGAGGGACAGCGCCCAGGCCCAGAGTTCAAGCCCCACGACCGACCAAAAAATAAATAAATAAATAAATAAATAAAATAATAATAAATTTTAAAAGGGCTTGGAGGCATGGCTCAAGTAGCAGAGTACTTGCTTAACAAGAGCAAGTTCCCAAGTTCAAACCCCATACCCTTCAATAGGTCAATCTTCAGCGTGTTGTAAACAACATATACAAGAGTTGAACTTAAGAAATGGAACAGAACCATTGCACAGACATGCAACCCCGGGGCCTGACCTCCACCCCTTACTCCTCTAACATTATCGTATTCTCAACTGGCAACTCCCTTCACCTGTTTCAAAAAGGGAGCTTTTGGCACGTTTGCTAAAAGACAATTTGTTTTTTCCAGCTATAGAATACCAGTATGTAGCCAAGGCTGGCTTCAAACTGTGATCCTTGTGCCTCAGCCTCCCCAAACTCTGGTAGTGTAGACATGTGTCACCACATCTAGCTAAAGGACAGTTCTTAAAACTTGTTTTTATTGGGCTTTGTTAATATGGTACACTATTTGCAGTCTTTGGATTGTTTTTGGGTTTTTTTTTTTTTTTTTGCCAGTCCTGGGGACTTGAACTCAGTACTCTATCACTTGAGCCACAGTGCCACTTCCGTTCTTCTGTTTACATGGTACTCAGGAATCGAACCCAGGGCTTCATGCATGCTAGGCAAGCACTCTACCACTAGGCCACATTCTCAGCCCTGGTTTATTTTAAACCACAGCATTTCAGGGTGGGGGTGGGGAGGCATCCACCTTCTGCCTGTGGCTTGTATCTCACTCACCGTGGTATTCAGATCTTACCGGGATGAACTGCTCCAGCCGGCCCTGGGGGAAGATGCCATAGAGTTTGGGTCCAAGTGACCTCTCTGCGAGAATGGCAAACATAACACTCTCCAGAACCATCGCCTCAGTCCCCTACAACAGACAGCAACAAAACAGAGGTCACTGAGCGTGTGCCATGTGCCAGCATCAAGAAGCACGCCTCTGGGAGCGGCTTCCCCAGGTCCCGGTCCATCATGAACATGAACCATGGCTCTCAGGTCACAGCATGAGCTGGGCAGGATCTAGGCTTGCAGGAATTACAGCAAACGACTGGGCTATATTCCAGAGTCACTGGCTTTTTGGTCCAAAGCATACACTGGCCTGCAGCATTCTGGGTTTTCCAGTTTGAACTTTCATCCTAGCCTTTCGCTCTACTCTAATGCTAAAAGATCTATGAAGTTCCTGTGTTCTATCTTCATCCAAATAACTAATATGAAATTTATCATCTTTTTTTTTTTTTTTTTGGTATGTCGTGGGGCCTGAACTCAGGGCCTGGGCGCTGTCCCTCAGCCCTTCAGCTCAAGGCTAGCACTCTACCACCTGAGCCACAGCACCACTTCCGGCTTTTTTTTTTCTTATGTGGTGCTGAGGAATCGAACCCAGGGCCTCATGCATGCAAGGCAAGCGCTCTACCACTGAGCCACCTTCCCAGCCCTCTATCATCATTTTGCCTTCAAAAATCTATCTAACCCCAAGATAGGGATTCAAGAGGTTTGTTCTTTGTCACTGCTATTTTTAATGTACTCTGTGATTTGTTTCTTTTGTGTGTTCTTCTCCCATGGTATAACCCCTGTTGTCACTGTATTTGATTCCGGTGCCCCACGTCTTCTATATACATTTTTCTAATGTTGGGAGGGGAAGGGAAATTCACAAAATACTGAAATAGGAATACAGGCTGACTCACTGTAACAATGAGACATACAAGACACTATGTTGAAAATGAACTTTACAACTTGTGGGGGGGAGGAGTTGGGGAGAGAAGGGATAGTAAGGGGAAACAAAGGAGGGGGTAACAATGCTTGACAGGAAATGTACTCATTACCTTACTCATGTAACTGTAACCCCTCTGTAAGTTATCTTTACAATAAAAAAAATATATATATATATTTTTTTGGGGGGGGTCCGGTCATGGGGCCTGAACTCTGGGCCTGGGCACTGTCCCTCAGCTCTTCAGCTTAAGGCTAGCACTCTACCACTTGAGCCACAGCGCCATTTCCGGCTTTTTTCTTTTTGCTTATGTGGTGCTGAGGAATCGAACCCAGGGTCTCATGCATGCAAGGCAAGCGCTCTACCACTGAGCCAACTTCCCAGTCCCAATAAAAAAATATTTTTAAAAAACTATCCTTCTGTTTCAGCTCAATTTCACTTGTTTCATCCTTTTCCTTACACAGCAAAATACGGCTAAGAGTTTCCATCCATTAGGGTGAAAGGGTGAGAAGGAAGTCCTCTAGTTTTGTTTTTGTTTTTTAAGAGCTAAAATGCCCCTTTGTACATCACCTTTGTAATAACAATTTTTTAAAAAGAGAAAGCTAAAATGGAGATTCCCAGTTGATGTGTTTAAGGAAAGGCCCACAGCAGGTGTGTTGGGAAAAAGTGTTTGATAATAATTCTAATTCATCCCTTGGCAAGAAATGCATTGTGCAGGAACATGACCCCGGAGGACAGGATGGAAGTTCTGCATTCCACAACTAACTGAAGCCCAGGGACATGTTCACTGGAGCCGTGGGTATGCTAGTACTGGTGAGAAGAGGAAAAGGCTGTCATGCCACATTCAAGCCACATTCCTTTTGTGATCCCAAATTTACGTGTTTCTGACATGTACCTTCTGCAGCAAGGTGGGACATCAAGCAGGTTTTATTTCTTAGGCTGTAAAGAACACTACCACCTGGTGTCTGTGTGGATGAGGAAATGCTTTCCATAGCTCACTGGCCTCTCCCAGTGCCCTTGCCCATGAGTGATCGCACTGTGGGACGGTTGATCTCAAGCCCATAGGATAGACAGCAAAGCATCCTGTGCGTCCATCCATGCTCCTGCTTCTCATGGGTGGCACTGCCTTCTACACTGTATGAAATGCAGAAGTGAGCAGAGGCTAGGCAAGGCCAGACAAGCAGGACTGGCCTCAACAGGTGTTCTCAGCGCTCTGCCATCTATCTCATTTCCCCTAAAGTTCTACTCCATCCTCCAATTATTTCCAAAGAACAGAATTAGGCTTCTGTTTGTATAGACCCAGAATTTGGTTAAGATGTGCTTTCCAGCTTTCCACACTGTAATGAGGGGACCAGGGCTGGCATTGTGTAAGACGCACATACTATCCCATCCGCACTGTCCCTTAATGGCTGAAATGCCACGTTTAGCCACAGGCGTAAACTCTGTTTTATTGCTTTGGAAGCTGAGCACTGTATGTGTACTATTTAGGAAAGCTGCCTTCATTTACGTGTGCAGCACTGGGCCTGGGGAGCAGATTCCACACTATCCAGACCCCTCCACAGAGCTATCAACTATGTCCTGAAATGGAACCAATAAGAGGGACAGAGACCAGAGAACTTCAGTGAACATGGCCATTGTAAACCTTTGTCCTTCAACACTGTGCTCAGCATTTATCCGTGGCAGGATCAGGAGAGGGGTGGTATGAAGAGGGAGGGGGCAGACCTTGGAAAGGGAGCAAGTGAAGGTCACCACGGGAGAAGCAAGAATCATGGGTGATCATCAACTCATCACCCTGCTGAGTCTCCCTGCTGCTACAGAAAGCAGGGCTCAGGCCACACCTCTACTCCAAGCCCCGGGCAGCCGCACACTGCTCCCAAATACCTATTCCTGCTGGCCTCGGAAATTAAAATTCATTTATACATTCACCCCCAAAACACCTCCTCAAGGTTTGCTGCGTACCCGGAAACAATGAACAAGTGTGTCAGGCCGCGGCTGCAGAAAGCGTCCATTCCAGAGACAGAAATGAGAAAACACAAACACAAGTGCAGATGAGGTACAGTCATGAGGGACAGAAGGCTAGTTCTAAGAGGACACAAGGAGTGCTAGGAGAGGTGTGAAGGAGCCGCCCTGGAGAGCACCTGGGCTGAGGAATCCATCTTCAAAGCTCAACAGCACAAGAGTGCTGAAAAGCTATGCGCTCAGCGTGCGCACTGCTCCCACCTGTCTCCTCCAGCTACTCAGAAGGTTAAGATCTGAGAATCATGGTTCAAAGCCAGCTGGCACAGGAAAGTTCATGAAATTCTTATCTCCAATTAACCACCAATAAGCTGGATGTGGAGCTCAAGTCAGAGTGCTTTGAGCACAAAAGCTCAGAGACAGTACCCAGCTCCCCCAGTTCAAGTCCCAGGACTAGCTCCAAGACAACACAGTAACAAAAAACTAGCCAACTTCATGGGTAAACTCACCTGGAGACAGGAGAAGAACCAGACCAGACCTGAGAATTCCCAATATTGACAGCAACAGCTTGCAAACAGACTGTCAGCACAGTAAGCAACAGGCTAAAAAAAAGGAATTGAGTGCTGGCCTTCATAAGGAAGGAGTGAGATCCTATCAGATGAAGGTCCAACAGAAGGACAGGAAAGTGCCACTGGCCCTGGCAACAGAAAGCTGTTACTGATAAAAACATGAAATTTCAGGGACCAGCTGGGAAGGGGTAAACAGTGAATAGAAGAGGCAGAAGGATCTATCTGGGGTACATAGAAGCAAGGGTTCAAGTAAGATTGAACTTACATACGTGGCTTCACTTGGTAAGCACCCAGGCCTGGAGTTCAACCTTAATACCAGTGTGTACACACACACACACACACATACACACACACACACACACACACCTGGAGTTCAACCTTAATACCAGTGTGTACATACATACACACACACACACACACACACACACACACACACCTGGAGTTCAACCTTAATACCAGTGTGTACACACACACACACACACACACACACACACACACACACACTCACTCAAGCACTTTCGTGGTATGCTAACCCAAAATACTTAAGCTCATCCTAATCATGAGGAAACACTGGACAAAGCAATGTGCAGAAACTGCTGGCATGCTGCCCAAGTATCCAGACAGTAAAAAACTAAAAGGAAGCAGCTAACCCCAGCCAGACCAAAATGTCCTACCACTCAAATGTGGTCTGCAGTTCAGCTGTTATGAATGCACCGGAACTAGTGGCTCGCAGTAATGGCGGTGTGCAAGCTGTGTGGAGAACAGCAGGAGGGGGTGGGCGGAGCGCAGGGGAGCTCTACTGCTACTGCAAATGTGAAAACTACAAGTTAAAAATAAATTCATAGAAAGGACTGAACCCAAGCAATATTAAAAAATGCAATTCTATATGGTAGGAATAAATCTATTACATTACTCTGTGCTTTCCCAAGCTTTCAAAAATTATTTTGTTGTTGTTGTTGTTGGTCATGGAGCTTGAACTCTGGGCTTGAGCGCTGTCCCTCAGCTCTTTAGCTCAAGGCAAGCGTTCTACCACTTCAGCTACAGCACCACTTCTGGTTTTCTGGTAGTTTTTTTATTGGAGATAAGAGTTTCATGGACTTTGCTGCCTGGGCTGGCTTTGACCATGATCCTCAGATCTCAGCCTCCTGAGTAGCTAGGATTAAAGGCCTGAGCCACCAGCACCCGGCCGAAAATTAATTTTTTGTGTGCTGGTGCTAGGGCTTGAGCTCAGGGCCTGGATACTGTCCCTGAGCTTTCTTGCTCAAGGGTAGTACTTTACAACCTGATCCACAGCTCCACAAGAATGCCTCAGATATTCCTGTCCAGGCTGGCTTTGAACTGTGATCCTCAGATCTCAGCCTCCTGAGTAGCTAGGATTACAATTTTTTTTTTCCCCTGAGAAAAAGGGACTGGGGAGCTGCAGGTATAGCTCAGTGGCAGAGTACTTGTGTAGTGTTCACAAGGCTCTAGGTTCCCTCTCCAGCACCAAAAATTACACTGAAATAAAGTTGCTTAGGGGTGAGGGAAGAGCAAAGGAGACTGGGAAGTTTTAAAGCAGATTCAGCAGATTGTGACTCAAAGAACTCTTGTCAGCACTAGAGGTCTGGCTGCTCAGTGATGGAGCACTGTTGAAACCTTAGATCACCCACCTCAAAAATACTATCAGTAAAAGAAAAGAAAGTTGCTGGGCACCAGAGGCTCATGTCTATAATCTTACTCACTCAGGAAGCTGAGATCTGAGGTCTGTGGTTCAACACCAGCTCAGGCAGACAAATTGTAGAGACTCTGATCTCCAATTAACCAGCAAAAGCTGGAAGTGGAGCTGGGGCTCAGGTGGCAAAGCACCAGCCTTGAACAAAAAAGCTAAGCAAGAACACGAAGTCCTGAGTTCAAGCCCTACTACTGCACAATAGGTAGACAGGTAGACAGGTAGGCAGGCAGGCAGGCAGGCAAATAAATATTTTTTTACAAAAAGAAATGTTATTAAGAAGAGGAGCAGAGCTGGGGTGGGGCTGGGAAGGGCAGGAGTTGGGAGTGCCCTGTCACTACAGAACAGGGTCAGTGACAACAAGCTGACAAGTCAGGCTCCTCCCTCAGAGGAGCTGGGGTGTGAACACCGGAAGAAGGTCCCTCAACAGAGTCAGTGGAATGATGACACAGACACAGAGGACTTTGAGGTGAAAAGATGATGGTGAGAGAGAAGCAGCCATCAAAGAATAAGGTTCACTGCCTGCTTGTGGTGCAGGCAGGGAGGCCAGAGGAGAAAACAAGGCCTGCCAGGCAGGGTGGGTAAATGCCTAGGGGCTAACCCAACCCAAGCTAACAGACCCCTCCTGGGTTTGTGTGGTTCTTCTCCAACAGCCAGTCCCAGCCACTTGGTGCGGCACGGAGGGGCGGGGATTACACAGGAGGCAAGTGGAAGCAGCAGCCAAGAGCGTGTGGGAGGAAAGGCTCTGGAGGTGGCAGGAAAGAGGGCTGATGGAGGGCAAGGAGGTGGCAGTGTCGACTGCAGGTCTCAGAGCTGCTAAGCGGGCTGCGAGGTCAGTAGCAGGGTGCACTGTTTGAAACAGAGGCAAAGAGGGTCAGAGTTTTTGAGATAAAGTCAAGAACACCCATAGGAGAGGAAGGCAGGAGAAATGGAGGAGGAAATAGGGGCTAGGTGACAATGGCAGGAGTCAAGCTGAGCTGTGCACTGTTTTCGCAGTGAGGGCTAGTGACAGCACACCAGAGATGACGGCCGCTGGGAGGGGGCAGCGCAGGGCATGGGCTTCAGAGGAACTGGGGAAGATGAGAAGGAGGACCTGCCCATGGCATGAGGTATGTCTAAAAAGTACTGTGAGGAAAGGTGCTATGAGAGAGAGGTGGAGCGATGTCCAGAAGAGACAGTTCTTCAGTCCAAGATGGATGGTCAAAAGGGCTCACAGGAAGCCAAAACCAGCTCTTTTACTCTCATTCCCAATTGCCTGTGGCAGCCAAGGGATCACAGACAAAAATCTGACTCCCTGTGGGTTTTACTAAAGAGGATGTGGAGGCATGCTGGGACTGCTGGATCTGAGGACCCCCAGGGCAGGCAGCACAGGTGCACCTGAGATAGCCGCCGGCACAGTGCTGATGTGTGCCACCCTGCTGCAGGGAGAAGAGGTTTAGTCTCAGGCAGGCAGACGCACAGCCCTGCCCCGTGAGGACCCATGCATGTGCATGCCCCTTACCTGTAGACCTGTACAAGAGAAAATGACTGAAAGGCCCCATTCTCCAATGTGGACTCCGCCCCACAGTCCTGTCTCACACTCCATTTTATAGTCCTCAAGCCTCCTGCACATGTGCATCTCTGATCATGGCATCTTTTTACTCAGTCTTCAAGTCTACCCTGGCCACAGGATCCGCACTGCTGCTATTCCAGGAAGAGGGTGCCATTATACAACCAGGAAGCTTGCTTCCTGATGAGAAGCATGGGGGCAACCAAAGATACATTGAACTAGCAGAAGTCAGGCAGCTTTATGTCAAGAGTACTAGAACTGGCCGGGTGCCAGTGGCTCTCACCTGTCATCCTAGCTACTTAGGAGACTGAGATCTGAGGATCATAGTTCAAAACACCGAGGCAAAAAAAATCTGTGAGACTTTTATCTCTAACTAATCACCAAAAAAAGTTAGAAGTGGAGCTGTGGCTCAAATGGTGGAGTACCAGCCTTGAGCAAAAAGTTCAGGGACAGTACCCAGGCCGAGATACAGATACAGATACACACACACACACACACACAAAATATTCCTAGAAATGTTACTGCCCTCATCTCTCAGCACCCCAAACACTTTTGGAAATGCTCCCATAAAGACAACTTCACTTCCTACACCAGCAGGAGAGTCAGCGACCCCAGGCTCACGCGCGCCTCAGGGAAGTGTGCTTCCGAGGCAGAAAAGAGGTCTGCCAGGCCACGTCACAGAGAGGCTGGCCACCAGCAGATTTCACCTCATGCAGATGCAGAATGATCTGGATTACTTACTTGAAATTCATTTTCTTTCTGAGCTTGTTCGGATCCCTCTTTATTACAGGACCTCTATGAAGGAGAAAAAGCAAACACTTCCGGTGAGATGGAGAACACTGAGCAGACACTAACTTTGCAACCACCAGAACAGTCAGGGTTCACAAAACCTCACAGATCTTTAACAAGGGCCTCTCGGCCCCCGTGACTGGCGTGGCGTACAGGCAGCAGCAGCCTCCAGCACGGGTGCCAACGCCTTAGAAGTGAGAAAAGGGGTGTGCCGCTGAGAGCAAACAGCTGTGCGTCTCACAGCCGCCCCGGGTACCATGTACCTTGCACAATCTCACTGTTAGAGGAAAGTCACTACAGTGCTCGCTTCCCTTCGGGCCTTCTAAAGACAAGCGCAGGCCGAGGCTCTCCTCGATTTAGCTACGCGGCTCTCTCAAGTCAACCTGCAAGGACAGGAGTGTGAACACGCCTATGGACAGCCAGGGTTGGCACAGACACGGACATGCAGGCAGGAAAGCTGGCCCAGGCTCTCACACTGGCCTCTCCCACACTGGCCCTTCTACTGCGGCCAGTCATGGCGCCATCTCAACTGTTCCTCCGGCAAACAGAGGACTGTGTGAATTTTAACAGTCCTTCAAAGTTATCTCACATGTTAATACATTAAGGGTTACTTTGATATCACTTTTCTCAATGAAATTGCCAATGACTGTAACCAGGACTTCAACAACACAATCAGATCACCAACCACATAAGCAATGCCCAGGCCACATTCTTTCTGCAAGGCCCAGGTTATGCATTTCCAAGCCACCCCCCACCCAGTGCTCAAAACCCTTCATACTACCCTTAATAAGGGGAAGGGTCATGTCAAAATCTTATACTCAACTATTATCTCCAAAAAGATTTTATTTGTTACAATTAAACAAAGCCTGCTTGAGCCAGACCCAAGAGGAATCCCTTAAAGGAAATCTTAAAAAGAATAGTAAGGTAACAGATTCTTGACCATCCCATGGAAAAACATACCTTTCCATTCCACAGCTTTATCAAAAATACCTGTACCAAGGGTGGAAAGTGTGGACAGGGGAAAAAAAATGCCACGTTAAGCAACACCAGCTACTCTGCAGCATTCTAAAACCCCTGAGACTTATGCACCATTCACCCACCACTCACCACACTGCACCGCACCATACAACATTCCATACAGCTCAGGGCACGTCTGTAAACTGTTTACCTTCCTCTACACGGAAGTAAACAAAGTAAGCATCCATGTTCATAAAGCTAGCTGCAAAAGGCTGCTACTGCTGGCACTCATGGATACACAGTCTATCGTATCTAACATAGTAAAACACATTTGGAACAAAGTACAGAAAGTACAAATGGGATAGATGACGTTTTCATCTGCGTAATCTGCAGACACTAACTGATGAACAGATGTGATAGGTGAAATCCCGTTACAGTGCAAGCGATAAAAATTGCTATTACAAAACCCCAGTGGGCCTCGGCTGGTGACATCGGATGGTCGTGACATCGGATGCTGAAGTGCCAAGCTATCATGGAAGCTCGAGCCTCCTGCGTCCTCTCCCTTCTACCCCACCCCACACTGGCCCAGCTCAGCAGCCTCAGACTTCTACCCACTGAGACTCTGGTACTAAGTCCTCAGGCACTGAGCAAATGAGGTGCTTGCTCCCCTTTGGATGGCACCAACAAACAGGCACTGCAGTGCTAGGAACCCAAGGAGCCACCTGTGCAGTGAAGCTGGTGGCCCTAAGGCAGGGAAACTAGAGTGAGTGAGGACACGGAAAGGGCCAAAGCAGTCCATGTCTTGTACCAGCAAAGAAAGGGTTTGGGAGAAGACATAGTTCATTTCCTTTTGCTTCGAGAGCTTAGAAACTCCCAGTTGGCTTTATAATGTCAGCTCTTCAGTTATTACTTAATACCTATTCCAAGAACAGTTGACCAATGAATGTTACCAGGCGACACAATGCCATTTTCACTTGCCACCCTGAGCAGTTTTTTGTTCTTGGTAAACCCACAAATAAGTATATAAATATGCCAATTCATTTATTAATAAAAGGCCTTGAGTTTTTTTTCTCCCCAAGGGAAGTTAAAGATAAGAAAAGTTTTATAAGCTGATACATATAAACACTTTATAGTAAAACCATTAAGACCAGGAACAGTAAGTTTAATGACATTTGTTGTACCGGGATTTGACCTGCACACAATTCTAAATGACTATGGTTACTCCTATACTGTTATTGCTCTAACTGTATCTTCTTAGCAAGATACAGTTAATGGTTACTTAGCTAACAGAAGTCCCTTTCCCTGTCAAATGGTGCTCTCAAAAATAAGTCATTTTACCCAAAGTTACAAAGTAGCTTAGTTCCAAGGCCCCACACTCACACTTGGGCTTGCTCGCTCACAGCCAGTGCTCTACCTGTTGAGCCATGCCTGCAGTCTGGCTTGATGCTGGCCAATTGGAGAAGTCTCTTGGGCTGGCTTGGAACCTCGGTCCTCCAGGTCTCAGCCTCCTGAATAGCTAGAATTGCAGGTGTCAGCCACCAGCACCGAGCTCAAGACCACTCCTTTTTGGCACCAGAAGTGGCCATAAATAAATTCAATTAATAATTTCCATGCCCACACCATCCCACCCCCACTGAACCCTAAGAGCACCATGGTAAAGGCAAGATGGACTTCTGTGGTATGCAGCCCTGTGTTCTGTTTCCTCAGTACAAAATGTCCTACAAGCAAGACCAAGGCCCAAAAATGTCACAGCAGATTCGACAGAAATGAACGTGAGAGGAAGCCTCCTCCTGATGTGTCTCACACACACACACACACACAGTGTCAGAGAGCGCACACACACACACACACACACACACACACACACACACACACACACACACACACACACACACACACACACACACACACACACACACACACAGTGTCAGAGTAGCTTTCTGGCCAGGAAGATAGGAAGTAGTTTTTTCCGCCAGTGGCAAGTATTAAAACACTGTATCAATATTTTATGCAACTTTATACTTCCTCTAACTTGCAGGTTAATTAAAAATAATCTTTTGCAAGTTATAAAACTTATTTTTTTACATTAAAAGTTTGAGGAATGGCTTTTGTTTTGGTCGGTCATGAGGCTTGAACTCCAGGCCTGGGTGCTGTCCCTGAGCTCTTCAGCTCAAGGATAGTGCTCTACTGCTTGAGCCACAGCACCACTACTTGAGCCATAGCACCACTTCCAGTTTTCTGGTGGTTTATTGGAGATAGAGTCTCACAGACTTTCCTGCCCGGGCTGGCTCTGAACTGCCATCCTCAGATCTCAGCCTCATGAGTAGCTAAGTTTACAGGTATGAGCCACCAGCGCCCAGCCATTGGCTATTTTATTTAAATGACGTGTGTGCACATGTATGTGCATGTGTGAGATGCTAGGATCGAAGCTCAAGCAAGATGGCAGTCATTTAAATAATATATTGTATGTAAATGCACACTAAAATATTTATGGAAGAAATACTTCCACATGTAGAATTTGTTTCAAAATAGCTGAGGAAGCAGAAGAAAAAAGACAGGGAAAATAGCTACCAAGGAGACAGACAGTAGGCACTTGGGCACGTCACCTTTCTACCCACCTGAAATTCCTCATACACGAATAGTGCAATTTCAGTGCCTAGAGAAATCAGAATGCCCCAAGTACACAAAAGACACCTAACTAAACATGTTTTTAAAGACTCACTGAGTTACACACCTTAAGAGGTGAATTCTATGTAATGACCCTTGTTATTTTTCTCATTTTGCACTTGGTTTTTCAAAAGAATCTAGAAGTCAGATTTATTAGTGATAAGGAGATACATGTGAAAGTCACAGCAAAAGGGAAATTACAGGTTGTTTTTTTTTAAGTTATAGAAGATTTTTTTTTAAGATGAATTGTTTTATTCTGTTTTTGGTGGTAATGAGGTTTGAACTCAAGGCCTTGCACTCACAAGCCTTTTTAAAATTATTTTTTTGGATAGGATCTCACATTTTTTGCTCTGTTCTCCTACCTGTGCCTCTCACATACTTGAGATTTTAGATGTAAACCATCATGCCTGGCTTATTTGTTGAAATGAGGGTATTGATAACTTTTATCCAAGCTAGCTTTGAACTGAGATCTTCTGATCTCCACCTCCCAAAGTAGCTAGGATTATAGGCTTGAGCTACAATGTCAGGCTGTTTCTTTAAGCTTATTTAAGCTATCCAACAGAATAACCTGTCTTAATAAAGGGTTTTAATTTCATTAGTTCTTACTAAAACATTCCTCTAGTAATAAGGAAGGGTTTATGCCTAAACCACTGTACTGAAAGTGAGTGTCACTTTCCTCTGGGTCTGTGCATTGGTGGGGTTTGTATCTAGTAAGTTCAGCTGTCTGAACCAAAATGTCTTTAAAACCCACTATGGCCTGGGTTCCTCCTGGGATCTGCTGGTAACTCAGTCCCAAAAAGTAAGCGTTTAGAATGTTAATTAAGAAACCAAGTAATCATTATATACAATGTTATAATAATAAGACAGATGCTATGTCCCCAATCACAGCAGCTGCAGAACCAAGGTTAACCCAACTGTGTTGGTCTCCAACACTCCTCCCTCATCAAACCCCTCAGCTACTGTCTCTTTTCAATGCTCCACTTGAAACAAAGAACAACTGTGGCTTTCTAAAATGCTCTGGAATCCACATAATTAAGAAGCAACCCATCTACTAGCGAGACTCAACTCTTAGGACATCTACAATGGTCTGGGAAAAGGACTCACCTCCCTGGAGCCTGGATTGTCCTGAGCTGAGCCCTGACTGCTCCTGGCTAATCAGGACCCTGAGGCTGGCGAGTAACACTGAAAGCCAAGAGCTTGGCGCTTGTTTGGTCTTGGACTGTGTTGCCAGCTTATGGCTTTGAAAACATCTACCACCACCCCAGCTATGAACCAACTTGACTCTCTAGAAGAGAAGTCTTTCTAGCATGCAATAGCGATAGTGTAACCACTGGCCATTCTATTGCATCCCCAGGAGGTGAGGTGAAGAACACACAAGTCATGTGCCTTCCACTCATCTTTACCATATATGAACCTTAATACCGCAGTAGGTGCTCAACTGCCTTCTCCCTGTTTTGAGGGGAAGGGGGGGGTATCCTATTTCTATTGTTTTTTTATAGTTTGCTCACTATTCTATAAAAATATTTTACAGAGCATTTGAAAATTTGAGATCCTGCTACTCAGGCTGAGATTTGAAGATCAGGTTCAAAGCTATCCCAGGTAGTAAAGTCTGAGACTTTTATTATCCTCAATTAACCACCAAAAACCAAAAGTAGAGCTGTGGCTCAAGTGGTAGAGCATTGGTCTTGAGCAAAAAGCTCAGGACAGTGCCCAGGTCCTGCCGAGTTGAAGTTGAAGCCCCAGTACACACTCTCTCTCCCGCCTCACACACATAGTGAGACCCCAATGCAATGACTTCAAAGTGTAGCTGAAGTGATTTGTTTATGAGCACACAGAATCACAGAACTTTAAGCATGAAAGTTCCTGAGTGCTGAGAGGAGGAGGAAGGAAGAAGAGCACAAGCACTTCAGTTCTTAGGTTAGGGCCCACAGTTTTCTAAATTACTAAATGGTCATTTTCTACTGAGGAAACAGAAGATAGGGATCTGATTTGCCTTGGACAAAAGAACAAAAAGAAAGTGATAATATATTCAACAACATTTAAAATCTTAATCACTGTACCTCTTTAAACAGTAAAAAAACTGTAGCTGGTGCTACTTAACAAGCATTATGGTTTTATTTAAAAAAACAAAAAAACAAAACAAACCAAAACATTTCTTAAATCCACAAACTGAAAGAAAGGGATGAGAGCTGTAGAGGATGCTCTAGCTTCGGAGGTCTCATACTATACCGTGAATCGTGTCTGTCACCTGGAAACCAGAGTGCTCCAGGCACGATCGCATGGGCAAGCCTGCAGCAGAGAACACATGCACATACAACTAAAGTGGCACATTACCCACGCCCTCACTCCACCCGACACAACACATTCCTTCCCAGACAGGGCCTGCAGGCCAGCCAGGTTCTAGGTACCAGAAATCTGCATTGGCTTGTGCTCTATAGATCTCACACATTTAAGACCAGTAAGACAAGGACACATGAACTATGTCAAAATTAGACACAGTAGCCTGTGGTTTACATAGTTATCAAAGAAGGCACCAAAGCAGGTATGGAAGGACAAGGGGTAGTCATTTGGCAGCGAGGCTTAGATATTAGCTAAGAAACTCTAGGTCAGACCAGATGCAAATGTAGCATGGGACAGGGCCAGAGGAGACTGAATCCTGAAAATTCTAACTACTTCAAGAAATGAATATAATTATACTGTACTTGAAGTACAGGGAGATAATTTAAAAAAAAAAAAGCATAGTTAATCAAACAACTTCAACTCACAATGGCCCTAAAGCAGTTGGGGCTCTGTTACCAGGCCTGGCTGCCCATTAAGGAGCCTGGCCAGCAGCACACTGCACTGTCACCTACATTCTGCACAGAAATATTTTTAAGCAATTGATTTCTCAGTAGCCAATAGTTTAAGATTCACTATCAATGAGCTATTCCTTAGTTTTATTGTGGTTTAATTTTTAATTACACTGTGGTCAAGAGAAAACAAAGAAAAGAATATTTTGTTTTCTAGATTCAAAATAAACCTTCTTTTGACTTGCTAATACATCTCTGCCTTGTGCCTTGATGCCTTGAACTGTATTACAATTAGTATTCAAACCAACAGTAATATTAGCCTTCTATTACTCAAAAAACGATCACACACATTTCTCCAGACAACACTCAAGAGAGACCTTTGATGAGTTACAGACACTCCTGCCTGGGAGGCTGGTCTCCATCCATGCAGAGAAGCTGGCTTAACACAGGCCCACTGTTCTGACAGAGGAGGGACAAGGCACTCCTCTGAGACGTCTGCCAACTGGCACAGGTTACATTGAATGAACAATACGTACTGACATTTGTGTCCTCCACAATTCATGATAAATAAGCAACTGGTTATTTGTAATCAGCCACACTTGCTTCTCTGAGAAGGCTGCTACTGGACGTTGCACAGCTCATGTTCCTTCCCAGTACCAGAAAGGAAAAAAATCAAGTTATACTTCCAGCTACTTTTATACTTTCAAGCTCTCTTCTAGCAATTACATCATCTTCCCCAATGGCAAAGGCATTACTTACTTTTGAAAACTTCTATTCAACTCTCCTAACTTTTGGAGCCAAGTTTGGTTTTCACCTAGCTAATTAATGAATACAGCCTTCTTCCCATTAAAATTAAAGCTAGTCTATGTAAAATGGGTATTATATTCTACAGACATTTATGTTAAGATCAGCCCGATATTCTTATGTATAATAATTTCCTACAAATAATGTTGCGCAGATGTAAATGTTATCTCGTTCATGTTTCCAAGGATCCGTATGCTCACCTTGTTAAAAGCACAGGGTTTTCATAAGCCATGTCCTGAACAAAACCTCCAGGACACAGGCAGGAAGCTGGCATATGTTCTATCTTAGAAAGAATTAGGGGTAGGACCAGTCAAGTCTTTGGGGATCACATACTGTGGTCCCTAATCCAATCTGAAGGTCCTTACATTGGCTTTTTGGTATTTAGCCCTCAGAGAACTGAACCAATGAGCACTTCTTCACTGTCACCCTGGAGATAAAGGAAGTCAGACATCTTGTCACACCAAGAGGAAGAAGTGTGAGAAAACTGGGAAGCATCTATTTATTTTAATCAAATTATCTGTCAATGAGTGAGAAATATTTCCACTTACGATTTCTCACAGGGGTAAAAAGTTCAAATGCTTAAAACAAGGAGGGGGAATGGGAAAGAAGTCTATCATATAATTAAACAAAATAGCAAAATATTCTGAGAAAATGCATAGGTCTATCATTATATGTAGTAGCCTTCAATTAACATTTATCAAGGAAAGAGGTCTGACCCTTCAGAGGTCTGAACCCCTCATGGCATTTATGCCCTGCCACTGACACGGGCCAGCATTCCTGTCTGGAGAAACTCATACAAGGACAGGAATATGCAGGCTTTCCTATGAGGCAGTGAGGAAAAGAAGGAAAGCAGAACATCTGAGTAGCACTATATCTGTTGTTAGCACCATACATTTATTAAAGTCATGGGATTTATTCCGGGGTGCTCCAAATTGCTCAGCTATATCTCTTAAAGCAAATCCTTGCAACTTACTATCAATTTCTCTCTCTTTTTTTTTATTGTGATAAGGCCTCACTGTAGGCCATAAATATCTCTCATTCCATGAGAAGCCAGATTTATCCCAAGCACTTAACCATAAATCAGCAATCTAATTGCACCTACACCTGGCCAGCGGGGAGAATAACAGAAATTTGGAAACTTTAAAAGACTGTAAAATATGTGGCAAATCCTGACCCTTTTCTGTGTCTTGTCTTGCTTACACCCTGTGTGTTCCTAGCCTCTTCTGCACTCCCTCCTCTCCTGCCATAGCCATTTGCAGAGCCTGAGGTTATAATGTTCTTGTCCTTTTGTTGTCATGGGATCTCCACTGACCAAAGTCTACGACAGCTATTCATACCTGGACTCTTAGTTGACCATAGAGTCCTTTACGGGAAAGCTGAAAGTTTTCATGACTTTACTATGGTTAAATTTCAACCAAAAAAATTATACTTGAAATAAAGACTGAACCAACTGGGTAATGTTGTTTTCCACTAATGAAGCAACAGAACTAGCTTTTCCTAATAAAGTGATTTTACTGTCTAATAAGCCAATGATGAGATTCAGACAGGAAAGCCCCACGGTGTTTTCTACCCTGATGCTTGCAAGCATGGCCTCCACCTGTCTCAAGGGATAAGGCATCAGAAATGGAGAGAAATTGAACTTGGTCTAATAAAAAATGTATCTAAATTTTGCTAAATGCAGAATGCCTCTCTCCAATTAAAATGGTCTACCTTATTAATTGAAGAGTTAATTTCATTCTAAGTGACTTCCATTATTCAGTTATTTTTCGGAGTTACCTGAGAGTCTTTTTAAAAAAATTCTTAAAAATAAAAATAAATAAATGAGGGCATAGGATTATTTCAATTTTTTTTCCCGGAGTGAGCACTTGCTAGGGGAAAGGCTGTCCAGCAGGATACAGGTGGTGCTGTTGTGCCCTGGGCAGCTGGGCACCTTCAGAAGCTGCCAATGACATGAGACTATTTCTGTCTCAAGTCATTAAAATGGAGTAAAATTTGAGGTTCAGCTCTTCAGTCACACTTGCCACATTTGAAGTGCTCAGCAGCTCGGCTGGCTGGCAGCGAGGGTAGAGGACAGCAGGGCCATTTCACCACAGCGACACTGCTCTAGAGCACAGAACTGACTCTAGTGTGGCCCAGGGCAGAGAGCCACGTGCACAGGTGTTTCAAATCCACGGTGCACTTTTAGTTACAGACCCGAGTGAAAGCCTCACCAATCTCATGCAGCCATTTATTAAAATATTCTAAAAATACTGCTTAAGTGCAAAATGCACAAAAGGATAGAAACAGGACTTGTTACAGAATATAAATAATCTCAAAGGAAAAAAAGGACAAAAAGACTCACTTCACTGAAAGCGCCAAAAGGCATCAATTATTTCAGAAGGCACTTTGTTCCACACCACAGTTGGTATCCCTGGGGCCCTGGGGCCAACTCGAGGACTGAATTACAGATGGCCTGATACCCTGAGAGGTGTGGAGTAGTGCAACACATGCCCATGTGCAGCAGCCAGGCACCTATAATCACACTACCTCATCTTTGTATCTTCCTGCCACTTTGACAGCTTAACTCAGTCAAGGAACAATTACTCCGAGAGAGGGTTCATTGGCACTTAATGATGATTTTAGAATGAATTAACGTGGATCGTCAACCTAAACATATCAGCAAGTATCACAGACATGGACATGACCTGCTTCTTAAGATGAAGCTGAAACAGATTGATTTTTAATGTAGCCAGAAAACTATCCTATTCTACTTTTTTTTTTATTTTTATTTTTATTTATTTTTTGGGTCCGGTCGTGGGGCCTGAACTCTGGGCCTGGGCGCTGTCCCTCAGCTCTTCAGCTCAAGGCTAGCGCTCTACCACTTGAGCCACAGCGCCACTTCCGGCTTTTTTCTTTTTGCTTATGTGGTGCTGGGAATCGAACCCAGGGCCTCAGGCATGCAAGACAAGCGCTCTACGACTGAGCCACCTTCCCAGCCCCTTTATTTTTTTTTTTAAAGTGCCCTTCAAAGATGAAATCCTACCATGGAAAGATGTCAAGGTAACATTTCAATATGTAATCAGTGGCAGAAAAAAAAAAAAAAATCACACAAAGGAGTGGTAGTGGCGGACAACTATACGTCCAGCACTCAAGAGGCTCAGTTGAACTGGAGTTTGAGGCCTTAGGAATGCTCTGTCTCAAAAAAACAAAAACAAACACACAAATAAGAATAACAACAAAAAACCCACAGACATTTGGAATATCCTATCACTGAATAAGACAATTCAATGAATACCGTGTCTTAAATTTAAAATTAAATTTGACTAGATAATATAAAAACTTAGAAACAAGTAATAAATCTAACATACACAAAGTTCTAATATAAAAACTTAGAAACAAGTAATAAATCTAACATATACAAAGCTCTAATCTAAAAAAAAATCCAAGGTTTTAAGAAAATCTCAAACAAATAGTTAATAAGTTCAGTTGTATGAAGGTTTTACTTGGTTAACTAAAACTATTCTCTATTTATTTATTTTTGTTTGATAAAAATAATTACACATTTATGGAACAAAATCTTTTTGATTATACTATAAAACAATATCTTTTCCACTTTAGATTTCTACAATTAAACCTGAGTTGAAAAGGTCAGTGTTGAAAATCCAAGAATCATCAAACATTATTACAGTTGAATAAACATTGTAACTTCTCTAGATATGAAACTGAGAAAATTAAAAGTAGTTTACTAATAAGTATTCAGTAAAAACAAGAACTAACCCAGTAAACAATAAACCGCACAACACATGAAAGTCTCTGTAGTACAACACTTACAACTTCCTTGCCCCCACCCCCACAGGCCACTTCGCTCACCATCTTTAGGATGGCTCCATACAGCCGAAGGAGCACTGTCCGGGGTTCATCACCCACGCTGGCTATGGTGTCAGGTAAGGAACACTGGAACAGCATGTTACTGAGGCCACCTCTGTAAGAGATCAGAGGACAGTAAGCGGCGTCTATGAATAACTAAGTTAGTCTTTCTGGATAAACATAGACAAGAAGTCAAGGTTACCCAAGAATGTAGATATTCTCTCGAGACACATGAAAACCTGAATGAAGAACTCCAGAGCCTTCAGATTCATTCCACGAGTCACACTAAAACAGAAATTCCCAGTGTTTTCTATAGTATAGTTGCGGAGAGTTCAAAGTTTTAAAAAGCCTGTGTGAGCTGGGTGCTGGTGGCTCATGCCTGTAATCCTAGCTACTTAAGAGGCTGAGATCTGAGGATCTCAGTATAGTATAAAGCCAGGCCAGGCAGGAAAGTCCGTGAGACTTTTTTTTTTTTTTGGGGGGGGGGGGGTCAGTCATGGGGCTTGCACTCTGGGCTTGGGCGCTGTGCCTGCGCTCTTCAGCTCAAGGAGAGTGCTCTACCGCTTGAGCCACAGCACCACTTCCAGTTTTCTAGTGGTTTTATTGGAGATAAGAGTCTCACAGACTTTCCTGCCCAAGCTGGCTTAGAACCTTGATCCTCAGATCTCAGCCTCCTGAGTAGCTAGGATTACAGGTGTGAGCCACTGGTGCCCGGTGGCTTCTGTGAGACTCTTATTTCCAATTATCCACCAGAAAACCAGAAGTGGCATTGTGGCTCAAAGTGGTAGAGAGCTAGCCTTGAGCAAAGAGCTCAGGGACAGCACCCAGGCCAAATTCAAGCACCATGACTAATTTAAAAAAAAAAAAAAGCCTGTCTGTACATAGGGAATGCCAAGGACCAGGAGCAGCTCATTAGCTCTAGCAACAGGAACATTCCAGAAGCATCCCTTCAAGCTCATATTCTTGGAATCCATGGGCTCAATTTATTTTACCTAGTCACGAGGTTGAAATCCTTCAGGACTTTCAATTTGATATGTGTTTCTAAGATCTACTTCTTTTTTTTCTTCTTTTTTTTTGGGTCCAGTCATGGTACATGAACTCTGGGCCTGGGCGCTGTCCTTCAGCTCTTCAGCTCAAGGCTAGCGCTCTACCACTTGAGCCTCAGCACCACTTCTGGCTTTTTTCTTTTTGCTTATGTGGTACTGAGGAATCGAACCCAGGGCCTCAGGCATACAAGGCGAGCGCTCTACCACTAAGCTACCTTCCCAACCCCTCTAAGATCTACTTCTAAAGCCAGTGAGAGTCAAAACATTTTTTACTTTTTCTGTGTGTGTGCCAGTCCCAGGACTTGAACTCAGGGCTTGGGCACTGTCCTTGAGCTTGTGTGCTCAAGACAGCACTCTACTGCTGGACCCACAGCTCTACTTTCCGCTTTTTGGTGGTTAATTTCCTATCTGGGGAAGCTTCAAACCACAATCCTCAGATCTCAGCCCCCTAAGTAGCTAGGATTACAGGAGGCTGAGATCTGAGGATCATGGTTCAAAGCCAGCCCAGGCAGGAAAGTCCATGAGACTCTTATCCCCAATAAACCACTAGAAAACCAGAAGTGGTGCTGTGGCTCAAGCAACAGAGTGCTCACCTTGAGCTGAGGAGGGCAGGGACAGCGTCCAAGCCCAGAGTTCAAGCCCCATGACCGACAGACACAGACACAGACACACACACCACCACCACCACCACCACCACCACCACCACCACCACCACCACCACCACCACCCAAAACAGTCTGCTTGCTGGGGAATGTGACTTAGTGCTTCCCTAGCATGGCCTGGGTTCAATTCCTCAGTACCACATAAATGGAAAAAGCCAAAAGTGATGCTGTGGCTCAAGTGGTAAAGTGCTAGCCCTGAGCAAAAGAAGCTCAAGGACAGTGCCCAGGCCTTGAGTTCAAGCCCCAGGACTGGCAATAAATAAATAAAAATAAAAACAATTAAAAAAAAAAAAAACCAGCCTGCTACATAGCCCACACTGGCCTTGTATTCCAGTCTTCCTGACTGTTTCCAGAGTGCTAAGATTACAGACATCAACCAGGCTCATCTTGATTTTCATCTTTTCTACTAAAATCCTCGAGCTGGGTGCCAGCTCATACCTGTCATCGGAGGCTGACATCAGTAGGATCTCATGGTTCCAGGTAACCTGGACAAAAAAGTTCATGAGACTTTATCTCAACAGAAAAATCTGTCATGTCAGGTATCATGGGAAGCATAAATATAGAAGGATCTCAATCTAGGCTGGCCGAAGGAAAAATGAGGCCCTACTTCAAATCTAAGTAAGAGAGAAAAAAAAAAAAAATAAGCCAGAGCTAAAAGCATGGCCCCCAAGTCTAGCAAGTGAGAAACCCTGTGTTCAAATCCCAGTATTACCCACCCCTCACCCCCACCCCCACCCCCACACCTTGACTGCTTCTAAGTTTTTCATTAGCTTACTTTAAAATAATCCTAAGTGTCTAGGAATGGCAGCAAGTGTAAGGACCCATTTTCTCAGAAGGCAAGTGAGTTGTCACCCCAGTTTAAAAGGTCAGAAAGAAGAGAGAACCCAAGGTTCCTGTTCTTAAAGAAGCAGGGAGACAAGGAAGCAAAGCAGCCCTACACTCTGCTAACCTGAGGCAGCACCCCTCAATCCCCCCCCACCCCATCCACCCCTTCCCTCTACCCTCCCCTCCCCTCCGCCTCACCCTCCCCCACAGCCAACACAGGATCCTCTTCTCATCACCAAGCAATAGGACCAGCACTGCATCAGGGTTCAAAGACCTCATTTTTTTTTCCTGGCACGTACTGGCAAAGGGTTACTCACATAAACACCAGCACAAACAGATGAACTACTGTTCTAAACTGTGTGACTTGATTCAGAGTTTGTCCCCATATTTAAACAGAGGGAAGGAAAGCTAGCTCAGCCAGGAACAAGCTTACAACAGGGAAATGCCACATTCACTACATTACATACAGTCTCTTTTATTAAAGGCTTTGGTGATTGCTGTCATTAGTGCTGAGTGACAGTGAAAATGAATGAAGCAAGGCTACTGGCAAAAAATAACTTCCATAGGAAAAAGCCACTGGATCAATGGAGCCCAATAATATGACTTAGAAACAAGAAAGGTTGGTGAGTAGGCTCTGGCAGTGAAATTCCAACTGTATGCCAGATGAACATACAGTCTGTCAAAGAAAGAAAGAAAACCTCAGCCAGGTACAAACCTCCTATGATGTCGTACAACAGTGTCACAGTAAATATAAACTGTTACAGTAAATATAAGTAAATATAGGAGACATAAATATACTCAAAGTAGCAAAGTAAAAAAAAAAAAAAAAAAAATCAAGCCCGGCACCGATGGTTCAGGCCTGTAATCCTAGCTACTCAGGAGGCTGAGATCTGAGGATCACGGTTCAAAGGCAGTTCGGGCAGGAAAATCTGTGAAACTCTTTATCTCCAATAAACCAACAGAAAACCAGAAGTGGTGCTATGGCTCAAGTGGTAGAGTGCTAGCCTTGAGCTGAAGAGCTGAGGAACAGCACCCAGGCCCAGAATTCAAACCCCATGACCAACCAAAAAAAAAAAAAAAATCAACTAGGCGCTAGTGGCTCATGCCTGTAATTCTAGCTACTCAGGAGGCTGAGATTTGAGGATCACAGTTCAAAGCCAGCTCTGACAGTTACGCATGAGACTCTAATCTCCAAGTAACCATCAGAAAACCAGAAATGCTCAAAGCAGTAGAGTGCTAACCTTGCACATAAAAGCTCAGGCCCCAAGTTCAATACCCATGACTGACAAAAAAATAAATGAATTTTTAAAAATCAAATAAAAGTGAGAATGATGCACATTTCACATTTGACACACTGAGCCACCACGACAGTGAAACTAACTGAAAAGGACAGGGAGTGCTACTGGCAGGAATTCTACCACTGCCTCCAGATTCTGTGGGCAGGCACCATAACTTCTGACCCAGTGGAATAACAAGTATACAGAGAGCTCCTTTTTTTTTGGGGGGGGGGGGGTACTGATAACATTTTGATACAAAAAGCTGTCAGAGCTTATCCTAAGCTATTCCAGAAAGTAAAATATAGGAAGACTGCGGTCCAGGTCCAGGTCCAGGTCCAGGTCCAGGTCCAGGCCCAGGCCCAGGATGGAATCCAGACTATCTCAAAAACAACCAGTGCACAGCAAACAACTCAAGAAACAAAAGTGGGAAGGATCATGGTTTGAAAGCCAGCCCAGAGGACAAAGTACTGAGAACTCATCTCATCAACTACACCAGATACAATGGCACACGCTATACTCCGAGATCCATGGGAGATGCACATAAGATTGTTGTCTGAGGCCATTCTTAGGGAAAAGCAAGTCCTTCTTCAAAACATTACCAAAGCAAAAAGCTGGGGGCCTGGCTCAGGGTATACAGCATCTGCTTAGGAAGCACAAGAACCTGAGTTCTAGCTCTAGTACTACCAATAGGAAAAAAAAAATGGAGTAACTGTTTCCCGACAATATGCTTTATGTTTCTCATGCTAGTGACTGCTTGTAGCCCTGGCTGCATAGGACCCTGGGGCAGAAGGACTGCTTTAGCCTGTATGTTGAAGACCAGCAACAGTTTCAATCACAGCTCCATTAAAAGAAAAATTATTAAATAAATAACTAGCGTACAAAAGGGCTGGAGGCCTGGTGCAGCAGTAGGGTGCCAACACAGCAAGCAGAAGGCCCTGAACCCAAGTACTGCAAAGGAGAGAGACAGAGAGGGGAAGGGAGAGGGGGAGGGGGGAAGAGAGAGAAGGAGGGAGAGAGGGAGAAGGAGGGGAGGTGGAGACAAGGAAGCTTTTGCTGCCAGGCCTCACTGCCCTAGGCACAATGGGACCAAAGTTTCAGTCTCCTACATCTGACTCCCAGACATACCAAAAGTAGCAGCTCAGGCTTTCCCCAACAGCCTCACTCCTCCCCTCTCTTCATCCCCTTAAAACCCCCACAGTCTATGTGAGACTCTCCAGTCAGGATGCTGACAGACCCTCTCAGGCTGTCTCTAATAAAGGAAGAGAGAGGGGAGAATGGGGAGGAAGGGATGGAGGAGGGGAAGGG